TGCTTAATAAGCTGCTGGAAGTAATCGGCATGAAACCGTTCCCTACTTCCCAAACACACCTTTCTACCTATTTTAGGCTGTTCAGTCGAATGCACTTTTATAATTAACCCATCGAATAATTTTCAATTATTTGTCTATTTGCTTTAATTTAGGCAAATAAGCTACTATGTAAAAGTATGTGTGTGTCTGACTGAACGCATATTTGCACCTCATTCTTTATCTATCCTCCTATTGGTTGTTTATATAGACGATCCATAACTTATCCACTCATAAATACACATGAATTCTTGAACACTCACTCTCACTCGATTTCTCGTGTGCTTGCGTATTTTACTATCCCTGAAACTAGTGTCCTGGCTTTCGAATATTCTCAAGTTTATAATACTACTAGGAAATTTGGCCTGCGTTAATATTCAGTTAATGGGATATTATTTGTTGGAGTGGAATTAACCTCTACATCTTCATCCTACTGTAGACTTTCACCATGAAACTCAAGTTCGGTACCCATAGCTTTAAATCTCAAAATGTTATCCATCAAATTAATAAATCCAGATAGCCACTAATTTGTCAGGTTCAAATAACTTCAAATTACATATAGTGCCTTAATTCAAACTATGAATAACTAATGTCAAAGTTCAAATTACAACGTGAAAATGAGTGGCATGTAGTCTGCATTACTTCGTAGAATATAAACGTAAGTTCTTGAATGAATTGAATAGTGAAGCAACTGCTTCATATTGCAATGAAAAGTAAACTGTAAACCAAAACAAAAAGTCAGTAGGATGTAAAGAAAAAGAGTAGAAAATCCATAATATGCTATGTGATGATAAAGACGACAACAGAAACTCTAAGGAATTCTTGTAGGTGAAATATGTAACAAAGATCGGTCCACTTTAGGCTACTCCTACTCAACACTAGTGTTTTATTAATATATCTAGAGAAAAACTGGACAAAAAAAGCAAAATATTTGTTGAACATACATTTTTTAAAATTTTGTATGATTACAGTTGTAAATAACTGCTTCCTTCATCTGAATATACTAAATTGTACGAGTAAATTGAACTATATTTGAGAGGCATGAATTATAACAAAATAATTGGATATTTGTAATATCCTAACGGGTAAAAATTTAAATTTTGCTTTTTAAACTTGTAAATGACTTTCAATAACTTACAATAAGTCATGAAATTCCAGAAATTTTGATTTTTACTTTTTGGTGTATAACAAATAGATCATTGTGTTATGATTGATCTGCTACCCAACACTCAATTTATATGAAAATTCTTAAGTCAAACCTCATTTTTAATAAGCATCAGTTATGTTTACTCTTGTAACTAACTAACTAGCCATTAGACAGAATCTTAGTTATTTTATGGAAATTGGTATGTTTGTATAAAAAAAATAATCAACAAACTAATAACAATGACAATGATCACTTGTTCTCAATGTCTAAGAAACCAACTTTTCAATATGGTCAATAAATCGTTTAATTTCCACAAAATAACTGATTGTTTAAAAATTCTAAAGCTCAGCTTTAATCATCCAAATATTAGAAATCAATGATTTAAAATCCATTCAGAATAACCTAATTACATCTTTAAAATATGAAACATTTTAATGATGATAATACAATACAATGAGAATTATTTCTTGATCTCTATTCAATCATACCCCCAATCTTGTCATTTCTTTTTTTTTTTTTTAACATTGTTTTTCCTTGTTTCTTTTTTATGCTTTTGTTGGATTTTGACTTCTTAATGACAGGTTAAACTGATAAACTTTGTTTATATTTAACTTGCTCAGTTTATTTTTAACTCAGAAAGTTTCATTATTTACTCATTTTATTGTTTGTTTGTTTTTTGCATTTACTCTTAAATAACAATCACATTCACTGTTATATCTTATTATTATTACGATTATCTTTATTTCAATCATCTCATAACAATTTCTTGTTAAGTAATTAAAACAGTTACAACTCATCATTTCATCGTTAGTGAATTATTTTCTTTTGTGAAAAACATTTCAAATATTGAGGTTAAACATTTCTGTCAGTAATAGTTTTTACTGTAATCATTTTAAAATGTTTCTTAAGAGTTTTTCATATGACTGTGATAATAATATTCTAGATATATGGAAATAGTACATATCAACTGTAGTTTCTTTTGTCATTCATACGATCAATAACACTGGGTTTCAGTCAGTCAGCTACGAAGTAGAACCAGGCACATATATATGCATCAGTCCAAGTTGCCACACCTCATTAGCACAAATATATGAACACCAAATTCATAGAATTAGTCACTTCGATCGTAGTAATATATAAAAGAAAGATTGTGTTTAAGGAGAAAGAATTAGTTCGTAGAAATAAAGGTATAAAGTAATTTTAATCCCAGGGATTAAGGGAAGACAGAGAATGTTTACACCTACGCAATTGTGATCAATTCTGAGCCATATCACCCAGAATCTCCAACCATTGGTTACGATAATCGCACGGAACCTAACCAAGTAGTCTAAATCTACCGACATGGCTCAGAACAGAAGTTAGTGAATTCAAGGAATTATGCCACGCATTGGTTTGGCCGCCCCTAACTTTCCTCCAACCATCTCCAACACTAGTCAGCATGGTGCGTCGTTGTAATCGGTGTTCAGGCATACATGTGATTAGTAAGATGTTTCATTCATCATTTCATTTTTTTTTCATATTGACAATTTGCAATTATTGTAATGCAACTGAGAAGGCTTAAGATAATACTTCAAAAATAATGTATTTAAATGACTCCACCACAATGTGTTGGTCATCAAATTATCATTAAAACTACATTCTTGTATCCAATATTGCATTTCTGAAACCCTTTTTCGGTGACAATTAATGTCATTGGTGTTAAACAGCGTTCTGAACAGTACATGTGGTTACCTACACCATATATATGTCATGGGTATATTCAGTATTTAATTAGTTGTGTGAATATTTGTACAACTTGAAGTTGACTCTCATCATAAAATGATATTGATTGAATAACTGTTTCATTGAAGGTTATGCCATCTAAAGTTGTTCACAAACCACCAAAAAGAGGGTCACAACTCATAATCTACTGAGCCTGTAATTCTCAAGATATCAATAAATTTATTTATTTCGTGAATTCTCTTTGGTTATTTATAGTATATATCTATTAAAGGGAAAAATGAGTAAACATATTTCGTATTATTCTACTACGACTGATGTTCTTCCTTTACTAAAATTTATAAAGGGATAGAACTCTATAAAAACACAATACCATCAAGCCTTTGAGTCTAAACAGAGTAGTTCATATTTTGATTCTAAAATAATTTATGATATATCACAATTATCATTCAACTCGATGGACTCCTAAAGTTGTAGTAAGTATAAGACAACTGTTCAATATTCTTTAGTTTTCAACGGTTATCGAGTTGATATCATTATATGTGGTGAAAACTACTTTTAATTATTCAATGTTTGTTTGTCAGATTTATTGGATATTTGCATTATATCTTTTTGTTCATACATATGCATAAACACAAAAACTGACCTTCCTATGATTTATTTAGTATTTATGATTTTCTGATTGTGTATAACACTGGTATAATTATAGATCTTAGGGATATAAGCATATAATAATAAAATAAACTTTTTAATAAATAATAATCCCTATAATGATAAATTTTAGTTTTCGACTACAAATTTCCTCCACAAAATACAATAAAAAGAACAATGTATTGATAAAAATAGATTTTAAGGTGTGACTTCCGTTAAACTTAAGAAATGAAACTACAATCAAACAATAAGGAAAAACTATGAATATAGAGAATACCATTTTTGTGTAGTTTAGAATTGAGTATCTTATCAAAAATAAAAATATGATGAATTTACTTGTAAAGCATGATTACCTGCTCTATAATATCCATATTTTAAAAGCCTAGTTAGTTTATTCGACATAATTTAAAGTAGTTTTTTATTTACTATATGATTGATTCTGTAGGATTAGAAATATAAAATAAAAGTCTTGATATTTAGAATAAACTCTAGTAGATTAAGATATAAATGAAAATCTATGCAATGGCTGAACTCAAAATGGTATCCTCCAAGAATAAAATTGGTTTAAAACGATAAAAAGTAAGCCAGTTTTGAGATTACTACTGTCAGTTAATATTGTATAAAGTTTCTTTACTTTCAAAATTACTCACTGATATGCAAGAGTAACACAATGTGAATTACACTAAAGATTAAGTAATTCAACATTTCAGTTTGACCTAGGCAGATAAATTTACTCAGTGCAACAAATTCTGTCAGTTTTATGTTTGAATTTATGACTAAAAGTATAATTTAAATGGGAAATGTTCTACTCAACTGTGGTCTTTGAAGCATCAAAGAAAGTGAAAAAATGAATGTCTATTTATTTGAACAATGAAGGAGGTCAGCAAAATAGTGATTTCTTAAATTCAATGGTAAAAAACTATTGAATTATTACTACATGTTAGTGTAATGTTAATCTGTACCTCATTATGAAATTTCTTACTTCACTAGTTAGTGAAATGGTTACATTTCATTTCATTTAGGATTTGTTGTTTGGTAGTTACCTAGCAAAATCTCAGAAAAAGGTTGTGATTTATGAAACCAAAAAGAAAATACATCAAACTAGATTCTTTTCAATGCTAAAAAACGAACTGCAAATTTCTGATAAGTAAAATAGGCTGGAAGAAATCCATTCAATTTCTTCAAGACGATGAGAAATCTTGCTTATTTGTATCACTATGTAATTATTTAGGGAAATCACCATATACTAAACATTTTCCCTTTTCGAATATTCTAAACTTTCATTGATACTCACTAAATAATATGAAAACCTCTATTTTTCATCTAAATAACACGGTAATAGTGATTGAATAATCTTAAAACATCCTTACTTCCAGTTACTAGCTGGAAATGCTATAATGTATCTTATTAAAAAACTATTGTAATCATTTTTCGTATACTCTTTCAGATTTGGGAAGACATAGATGATGTGATCATTAAAACATTACTATCTGGTTATGCTATAATTAGACATAATTATCGAACTTGCTTTCCAAATCATATTCAAACATCAGCATGTTTTGAAATTCTTGGCTTTGACATAATATTCAACCACAGATTAAAGCCATATGTTCTTGAAGTAAGTGCAATTACGTTAAATTATAAATACTATTACTGAAATTTATATGTGATTAATTTAAGTGGTTTTGTTATGACATTATAAGGCACTATTATAGTGTTGTTTGTGAGACCTAAGAGCTTTGAGTTCACTCCCGTGTCTTTTGCATTTGTGAAATTTTGAGGAGTTCTAAAGTGAAATAAAACAAATCTATTTACTTCCTTACAATATTTTGCAAATGAAGTATTGAACGTATCGTATTCACATTTACAAAATAACTCCGTAATTTTGCGTTCTAATAGATTCCGTTGTCACCATTCGTGTTCTCGATCACTACAGTATCAGTTCGCATACCCACAGGATTTCATCTGTTCTAAACATTTTATTAGTTTATTTACTGGACTAGTTCGTCATTATTTCCACGCTAGTTTCCCTTACTTTCTGAATCTTTTAACCTTCATCATGTTTTTGATTCACATTTGATAAGTTCAGTATGACATAGTTACGCCGCTAAATTCCATTCAAAAGTCAATGTAATAAAGGGCTTTGCAATTTCCTATTTATATTTGGGGAGTCAATTAAAATGATGGCTTTTTTTATGTCGTTCATTGTAACCGAAAACGCTCTCGGGTATATCTAGAATTGGACAGCACTAAAACTCTACTCTTCTTATCCAATTTTCCGTATAACTCATCGCTGGATCAACATCAATGTCTTAGATTTAAGATAATAAAACTTAATAACTGTTCTAAATGATCGAAATAATCAACGTCATACGAAGCATAATTGAATGAACCTAATTATCAATTATTTGAGTTTCATAATCAAATCTAGCATTATGCTTCAACAAACAATCCATTTTGTCATAATGATTGCTCAACTTTTAAAACTTGCGTTATTATTCAATAATAAAATATTATAAATTCGATTTTGTGATTGTCATTATTAATTTACGTTCTGCAAAATTACCATTGCACCTATCCCAACTATTTACTCATTCAAAAATGTCTAGTTGACCAAATTGTTAGAAGTGAAGGAATAAATTCTGATTTTAGTGATTTGAAGATATTATACTGATTATAAGAAACAGAGCACTTGGACCTCATTCTATATAAGATCTTTTGCGAATTCTTCTAGAGAGCTACATACTAGGACGAAACATTCGGCCTTACAATTTTAGAGCTCATAATGTAAACTGTATTAGAATCTATAAACCGTTAGTGTGAATTGATTTTCTTTCACATCGCCCATACATGTTCAAGCTTTTTAGATAGTGGAAACTAAAAAAACTTTTTTCTGTAATCATATTAGGTGAATCATTCACCAAGTTTTACTACAGACAGTAAATTAGATAAAGAAATTAAAGAAGCTATGCTCTGGGATACTGTACAACTTGCACATTTCAATGCAGTTAGTAAAAAGAAATGTTGTGATGAAGAAAGAAAACGCATTCGAAATCGTTTATTACATAAAAATATTGATAAAGATCATAGGTAAGTTAGCATTATATTTTTTCTGTATTATAATTTCTCACGTTATTTTAACCCTATCAAATTATAGCTTTGCACAAACAGTCCCAAATATCATTTGGTTTTGTAATTAACCTATATACAGCAAAATAACTTATGTACTAATTCATTTAATCTGAATTATTTGGTTCCGTTAAATATGTCTTATTGAACTTAAAATTTGCTGAGTATTTATTTCTTTAAAATGTATCCAAAGACCTCACTCCACGTCCATTTTTGCTCTATTTTAACTACAATGTTTTTTTCCTATATATATCATCTGTTTAATCCCTTTACAGGTAATCTACCTTTTAAGCGGTTCTTTGTCTAGGTCGATCGTTTCAAATCCTTTCAATGACCTTGAGTTATTATTAACGCCCGTTTTTATTGATATCTATTTAATAGTTGGATTCATGAGTCGATTAAAGCTAGACTACCATGAAAAACCTGGAAGCGCTGGACGGCCGCTTCTCCCTGGTGTGAGATTCCTCAGCAGTGCGCATTCACGATCCCACTCGCAGAATTCAAACCCAGAACCTTCTGTCTCGCGAGTGGGATCGTGGATGAGCACCTCTGAGGAGTTCCCTTACTAGGACAGAACGGCCGTCCAGTGCTCCCAGGTTTTCCATGGTAGTCTAGCTTTAATCGACTCATGAATTCAACTATTAAATTACTATACGCTGTTCAGAAAACGTTATGAAATGAATAATCTAATATCTACCAGTCTATTATTTATTTAGTTGGATGTAGTGTAGAGAGTTTCGGATACTTTGAAATTGATTTTTAATCCTAAACTAACGTTAACTGATTCTATTTCTAAGAATAGAAATGAAGGTCTACCAACAGAATTACTTTGTTTAGATTGTATATCATCATCATCCGCCTTAGATAAACATACTTCCAACAGTTTATAATACTAAATTTAAAATTATCTATACAACATTCTATAATCTATATAATGAAATTGGGAGCAATACAAAGATCGATAATATTAGTACATAGATACTGAAACGTATCTCAAATTAATTGACGCTTAAAATGCAAATCAATAAATTCGGACACAGTCGTCTGAAAATGTTATCTTGGTCATACGAGGATGTTATGGGTGCACATAGGACTCACACTTTACATACCTGATTTCCAAAAGACTTCAAGCTTGATTCAGTCCCTTACAAATACTATCGTCAAAATCTTAGGTTTCTTTATTTTTAATATATTGAGTTTCATAATCTCGCTCTGATCTTATTCTACTGTCTTATCTTTAACTTCAGGCAACTTCTTTTAGATAAATTTTCTTTATATTTGGTTACTGTACCCAGACTCTACTAACACCGTGCATAACATTTTTGAAAGCATGATTGAAATTGTAAATCTGACTCCAATATACATCATTCTAAAGTATGAGGTAGATAATGACAATAGAATTGTACTTTTTGTCTCAAGTATTACTTAATTAAATATTCACTATTCATATCGTAAATATTACACTAGTTTATCTTATTCGATCGGATACTTAAAAGTTCGAAATGGTTCGGTAGAATTCATTAAAGTTTTCTAAAATTATAACCATATGATATTCAATGAATAATTTCAAACTGTTTGTCAAAAGTATGAATACATAAAAAGTTAAAAATATCAGTCTTATTTTGGAGAATCTACTGAAACAGATAGTTTAGTGTAGCCTTTAAAATAAATATTCGTAATGTTTGGGATTTATATAGTGAGATATGATATTCCATGTTTGGAGAATCTGGTTAACTCTGTTTCAAATCGGTCACGATGGTTCGAATATGCTAGTTCTTTATCGACCTTTAAATCTTGCTCAAAGTATTATTGCATGCTCTAAATTTTTATGCTTTATTCGTTCCTAATGATATTCTTTTCCTATTTCTATTTTTCTGTTATTGTTGGTACAACTGTTTTTACTTCATTTTTCCACTTTTAAATTTCCTTTATTTGCGATAATTTGAAGCTTTGAAACTTGGACTAGTACACGTTTGTGTCAAGTTCTATAGTGTTCATGCTTCACAATTGATTGGTCACTGGGTGGTGATCAATGTCATGTATGTCAAGTCCTTCTTAGTGCAGATTGAATGCTGTCGACCAAGTTGCCGTGTGACAACTAATCTAGGTAACTAGACATTGCGTGTATTATTTTGAGATAGAATGTTGGTTAGAAGTAGTCAACAGGAAACCCTGAACCCGGATTTCCTGCTATTTGGCACTCGTCAGCAAAGTCTACCTGCCACACTGCAACTTGGTCGATACCATTCGATCTGCACTTAGAAGGACTTGACGCACATGACATTGATCACCACCCAGTGATCAATCGATTGTGAAGACATCTCAGTCCTACAGTGGTAACGTCTCTGAATGTAAAGCCGCGTGACACGGGGTCGAATCCGTCAGGCAGCACCAGTTCCCTCAAGATTACAGGCACACTCTGCTGACGGGTGCCAAATAGCATGAAACCCGAGTCTAGGGTCTCCTGTTGACTACCTCCAACCACCATATTATCTCAGTGTTCATGCTTGATTCTTGTTCTATGAATGATTGATTAAAGTAATAAATTGACTTATTCTTTTATCTTCTCAATACTACAAAGTTTATACAAATCTCAAAAACAAAGATATACAAGTAATTTTTTCTGCATTAATGTCTAGCTATACATGTACAGTACTTAAAATAAACTAATCTCCATTTCGGGAATTATATATATCCTTACATAAAATTGATAAGTATTATGTCATTTCGACTTAGTGAACAAAGTTGCAATTATGGATGATGAGTACTCTGTACTCTAAGGCTGTGAAATACTTTATTGATATTCGAATCCTCAACATTAAGTCGATTTAGTGAGATGGGAAACTTCAGTTAGTTCACACAGTTATATAATATACCCTTGTGGGCCAGGGTAATTTTACATTGGTTTTCAGGAGAACCAGACACCATCCAGACTTTCACGCAAAAACCCAAACAGTACAGCTCAACCCCGTTTAGCGGAGGAACCAGACACCGTACAGGCTTTAACGCTACAATCTGAATAGTACAGCTCAATCCTGTGGCGCAACCACACAGGTACCAAGCACCCTGGTGGACCATTCGCACCATTCATATACACGCTCACATCACATGTATAGTTATTCCGATCAATGATCGCGTGAATCAATTATGCACAGCACGAACAGGCCAAAGTTGACCTATTCCGCTTACACGACAGTCAAACTCGTTAATATTAGCAATGGCGGCATGCCTTACAATGTCCCAATGACAATGGCCCTCGGGAACACTGAAAAGCAACCACCAGTATGAATGAAATCGGTTAACCAGCAAACCAATTTTTGCATGAACAGTCAGCAAAACTTGCCAAAGCAATGCCGAACCGTCCACAATAACAATGGCGAACCTCCAGTCTCATATGGGACCTTCAGCTCTAAATAGCCATATAGATGAGAAACTTACTCATATAAATTATCATGTCACAGAATATTTTAGCAAAAAGATAAGGTTCCAAGTCCTTCAGACGATAAAGGTAATAGCAATTTAATTTTTTTTTAAACGGAGGTTCTGCATCCAAAATAGCAGACTTATCATCTATTTAGCGAGTCGAAAATCACATTTATGTGGTGATATACAGAATGACATACACACTCTCTACTACTACAAATTTTCCAAACTTAAATTTATTGAAATTAACTATTCTTGTTCCAATAGATCATACCAGTCTACATAACGCTACATTTAAACTGCCTTTGATATAATCCACATCTCATGGGTTACGCAAAATATGAATGAACATTCAATGTGATTATATATATACATTCGTACCAATATACGAGAACATATTCCAGCCTGGTTCTATAAGGGTGAAAGGAAAGCAGTTAGGAGTTCTATTCTTGAACACCTAATTGACTATAACCATTCAACAGATCCACAAATTGATTTTAAGGTTGTTTATATGATTCGTTCAAATCTACCCAGATTTCTTCGTATACAACTTTTAAAAATAGCCGAAGCTCTTGCCATCCAGGAGCTTAAACCAGAACTATGCGTACAAAAGAAGTACGTCTTATCGTTATCGTTACCTTGGCCTTAATTAGTTTGATTATCCTACCATTAATGTTATTATTATTATTATTATTATTATTATTATTATTATTACTGCATTCCCCCGTTACTTATGTCTTATATTCTCATTGTTTTATTCATGAACGCTCATCATATCAGTTTATTTTTGTACACTTCTATGACCTTTAATTATTATATCAAAAACATTTTAATCATCTTATTATATTCACCAAATCCATTGTTATTGTTATTATTCATATTACGTAATCTAATATTATAACCTTTATATTAACTATATTCACATTTCCTCACGGAATTAGTACTGTTACAAAAACAAAATTTTCATATATATACGATTGTACAGCTTGATAATAAATTCGTTGAAAAGAGATCCCTTCGCTGAAATTCGTGTTTTAATTTTAATGTTTAAATGGGAATTATTGTCAATATTTATTTTGTTTGTTCACCCCGAAATTTTGTTAAAATCATACTACGAATCCGTTATATTACATATTAATTGCTTCAACATTTACGAACCTTAACAAACTTATTTTACTGATAAGCCTAATTTTGAATCCTATAATTTCAAAGTATAAATTCACCTGAAACTTGTTCATTTTCTTCCGATCAGTAATTTAAACCTCTATTTGTAAAATTTGATGAGAATTTATGCAAATAAATATTTGCCACCCGTAAATCTGTAAGTAAAGATTGATTGTGTTTACTAGCCTAATAACTTAACTAAGTAATAATCTTGTTGCACTGTATAGCGTATATCTATGTAAAATCAAAACTTTTAGAGTTTTAAGTATCCAAATAAATGATTAACCATTCCTCTTTCGAAAGCAACTTACAAATACCCTTCATTTGTGATTGTAAAATAGCATCAAGAATTGTTCAGAGATAGTAAAAGCGACATAATTAAAGGAATCCGTGTTTTCAAAACTAATTTTTCTTTTAGAAATATAGTTCATAGTTATTTATATAAATTAACTAAAGAACAATTCAAAGAATGTTTAAGATGAAGATGCCATTATTGAACTTTTCATATTGTGATAATATCCAAAACACAAGAATAATCTTTAAAAAGATGTTCGAGAAACCAAAAAGTTTATAACTTGTTGAAATCTAATCAAGGATATTTGATAATCTAAAGTGAACATTTGAAAATGAAGTCATTGAAGAATGTAAGAATCAGTTTTCTAGTATTTTTTTCACACGTAACTACAAAAGTATTTTGTTTAGTATAATAGAGTGAATAATTGAGTATTTATTCATGTGAAACGTAAATGATCCAATAAAATCTACAATATTTAGTGTATATTAGAATTTTGATAAATGATTTAGTCTTATATATCAATCATATACATGGATGATCAAAACTAAGCTGGTTCAAATCCTGTTGTGACTAAAGTTTTCTGGGTTAATTCTTAACAGTTTTAACTAAATTAATATTATTTTTGCATTTCTACAGATGTTCACTCGAACGTGATATTGAAAGATATCAAGCACTAAGTGAAAAATATGAGAATAGCCATATGGGTAATTTTCGTCTGATTTATCCATCAAGCGATCTGGAAAAATATTCACAATTTCTCAATCCAACTGCAACATTTTATCAGGAAACAGTTACTTACAAAGTAAGAAGTGAATGTGCAAGGTAAGATTTCACTAAAAATATGACATTGTAGCCTGTCACCTTTATTACCTTCTATGAATGTATACTGGGCTTGATTTAACCATCTCTGTAGGTGTTCAGACATATGGTGAATGAACTATGGTTCCTAGATAAACTTATGTTTTGATGTAGCGGTAGTAGTATTTAATAACCTCAGGCACATATAATCATAAAGACTATTGATGGATAGCCCGAAAGTTCAGACCAATAAAGTTAGCTACTGAGGTTGGCACTTTAAAATTTGACTCATGAGAGCTATCATCAGACTTGAAGTCTCAAACAATCTGCCTAAGTGAAAATGATTACGCGGTGATAACAGTCATAGAGATCAACTGAATTATGTATCAAAAAAATCATGTTCAACCTTCTGTGTTCCCACTTGGTATGCAATAAACGCAACCCACTCATAACCGTATTAATTGCTTTAACTCCATATGATGAACCTTCTTCGTGACTATGCTCTCCCTTACCCTCTATATCTCATCTTTTAGGCATTCTTAATATATATTTCATTTTCAAGTTCACACAATAATATTACAGTAAAGCTGAATTCAATATGACATGTCTCTTAATTTCTTTCTCGCATGATTTTTATTCGCCCGATCATGGCATTTCATCTCGAAGCATTTTTAGTGACAAATTACCAGACGTCTTCGAATATACTTATATTACATTCTAATCATACAGATCACATTTTTCTCAAGTATCAAAGACATAACCTGGTAAGGAAGCAAACGATCATTGTAGCCAATAGTTGGAGATGTTAATTGACACGGATCGGAATCAGTAGCAATGAAACAGATATATTCACATTTTGTCTACCGCTTAATGTCGGCTTTTAAAATTATATTATACTTCATATTCTGAGAATTCATGAGTTCAATAACATATTCCTCACACTATTTGTATTTTTATCCAACAGACAACTAAGAGAAGAAATAAGACTTAAACAAGAAAAATTGGATTTAATTGCAAACAAACATAAGCAAAGTCAATCTGAAAGTCCAGCTCCCAAAAGATTAAGAATTAAAATAAACACTGGATTATTATCTCAGCAATTAATAAAATCAGTTAACAATGATGAAATAATCAATAATTCTAATCAATTAATACCCATAAATAAAGTGGGTTTTAATGTCAATAACAAACAAAACAATCAGGAGGAACAAAGGAAACCTGATAAATGTTTAGAAGTCTCTACAGAAGGAAAACAAGAAAAGGACAGTAATGATAACCACTCTGATAATCAGACATTGATTAAGTCTACGTTAAACAATGTCGAACTTTGTGTAAATACTAAATTGCCACAACCTATACTTGATAATGAAGAAGCTGAACGTAGAAATGAATTAAAAAGACGAGAAGATCAAATGCACAAAATAGGTTTAATTTCAATGCTTTATGAATTATTTGCACATTCACATTCTTTAAAATACAAAGACAAAAAAGAATTTAACGAATTATATTTAGATAATAATACTAATACAGAACAAAACTGTACAGAACATCGACAATCACAACAGAAAGCAGGTATGTCTCCCTATTTTAACGTATTTATTTCATAATAACATTAATCAATTTACTTGTAGTTCCTTCTATCAAATGTAAAATGCACTTTCACAGAATCTTTCTCAATAACTTTAACGGAATTTAATTTTTGTTCCAATGTGTAACTATCTGAGATTTGAATAATCAAATGACAGTTTACATTTTCCCACCAACTGGTCAAATGAGCTGTTTACGGATTTGAATCAACTGACATAATAAAATCATTGGTTCTGAGTTTTACAGTTTCTTACTGATATTTTCTAAGGCATAATAAAACGTCGTAACTTATTTTGGTTAAAAGATTCTGCTTAAGTGGAATATAAAGTGAGTACCCACGGATACAACACTCAATGATTGATGTGCGTTTATACCGAATTCATTCACACATATTAATAAAAATATATGAGTTTATTATATGAATAGTATGTATTCATGTTCTAAACTCCCATAACTTACTCATGTACTTTTATACTTTCTCTATCGACAGCTTATCTAAGGTTATCATTATGTGTACGGTTTATTTTCTTCTTAAATACTAGATAAAAAGAAGGAAAGAGAACTGAATGTTCTAAAACCAACAGCTTCATGGAAAAATCGTACACAGTTATCAGGAAGACAAAAGTACTGGATTAAGAATCAAGAACATGAAAACTCTGCTAAAGTAAATTTTAGTTCATTTTCTTAGTGTATGCGATTTGATTTATGTTGAGTTTTCAAAAGAAATTTGATTCGTTATATTATTTATTTGACGGTTATTTCTAAATTTTACCTTGCATCTCTTGAAATTCAACGTTATCAAATCAGGTATTTTAATTATTATTGTGATCGCGTACCTCTATTGCTGGGTTTCTGAACTGAAAAGGACCTACCAATTTTGTATTACAATATTCCTTGCAATTTATACTCCAAAAGAATAAGATGATCAGCAAATCAGGAGGTTTGTGAAGAGCGTAGTGAACAGAACACGGGTGGGGACAATCGGATGTATTTGACTCAAACTTACAGGACTTGTTAATAAAACCTAACGATCAAATAGTAAATACATAATTTGCAAAATGTCCATCAATTGTCCCATAATGACTCAGACTTGATTGTTCTTGCATTTTCATACAAATTGCATTCTGTTCCCATTCTTTACTGTTCGATCCTCTTGTCTCTCTGCTGCCAGACCTTCTGTTCACGAGTAACGTCATATACTACTTATGTCAGTATAAGTAGCACACACCACAAAGAGTATCTAATTTAGGGTTAGTTATCATCACAGACATACTTCAGACAATGAGACATAGGAAACTGAAGAACAAAATACAATTGTATAATCCCAGTAGTGGAATTCACCCTCAGTCAAATAAGTTAATAGTTAAACAAAAGCTTATAAATTACGCCGAATTATAATGCTGTTAAAATCAAGCGTTAACTGAACTTAAAAATTATGAACTCCTGGACTCTAGTTCGGTAGCACTCTCCGGGAAACTCAATCCACTTTCGTTGAAACTGTTAGTTCAGAGTTCCGGTGAGCAAAAAGCTAGGAATAAACTAGCTCTCAAGTAGTTCCTAGTCAACAGTTGTTCTCCAGTTAATTTCATCTTCTTATGAAAATCAAACGCAAAATTAGATGTTATTCGTGAAACACCTACACAAAATCTTCTTAACGAAAGTTGTAAAATAATTTATTTTAATATATTAACGGTGGTAAACATATAAGTTACAATAAGAGACTACGTCTATTACTTAAGTGGTATCCGACACAAACCCGCAGTACTGAATGATGCAGTATTTCCATCACTATTAAGACAAAACTAATGAGGTTAGTTCTATGCTCAATATGTTTAAATCGGAGACTTACATTTTTGCGATAAAAATTCGCCAACAGATCTTCATAGATATGTCTTATAACATTATGCTACTTATAAGTAGAGTACCCTGGAAAACTATTTTGTCTTGTAAATTGTTTTGCAGGAAAAACCAGATATCATACATGATACAAAAATAACTCCAGTAGTATGGGATAATCCAATTGAGAAAAACAAACCGTCGCTTGTTCCAGTAGCGAATCAATGTTGTAATAATTATTTTGTGCGACTGAATGGAAGTCGTTGTATTAATTCAGCTCAACCATCCATAAATAATCTTACTTTTGGTGCGTTTCCATCTCATCAATTTCATAAGATACATCAGCGAAAATCCCAACAATCTTACCGTGTACATTCCGGTAATCTTTGTGACGGAGGAATACATTCAAACTCTTCAATGATAAATCCGACCAATGGTCAGATAATTCAAAATTTACCAGTGAATCTTGATAGTCAATCATTTTATCAAGATTGTAATGATACAAATTTTACTGGCAAGAAAAGTCATCAATCAGTAAAAAATTCGTCGTTTGAAAGTATATGTAATCCGATTCACACATCTTTACGAATAAATGAAAATTATGGTTCCCTACCTTCAAGAAGTATCCGATCTAATTCAGCGGTAAAATCAAAATACATCTTCACAGACTTGACTAGTTGTAGTAACAATAGTTTACTACAAGTAATTCCCAGAATACTTCCAGACAGCATAGTCATAATTCCTCTAGCAAAAAAGCACCTAATGACTCTGACAGTAAGTTCCGCCTTTATAATCCAAATATATTATTCAAGCTAAATATGATTGAAAATAGTTCAGTATATTAATATCGATAGTCGCTTAATATTGTCAGTTGATTGAAGTTGGGTACGTAGATCACTTTGCCCCAACTTAGAGGTACATATACATATTTTTGCTGTCAAACCCCTAAGTGTTTGGTTCGGTTTTGTATGCGGTGGTGAAGGGAATTTCCTGAGAAGGCCAAAATACAGGTGGAGAAGCTAGCCCCAGTTTCCTGGTTTTTACAATGGTTTTTTTAGCTTATATTAGTCTTTGACGAAGACTGACGTCAAACAGGTATCAAATCTCTATAATTATAATATTCATCAATAAATTAAGCTTTCTCATTGCAAATCATTCACAAATATATAAATGGTAAAATTACTACTCGAGATGTAGATCACCTTGAAGGAAGTTAATGCACACAAAATTTCCTGACGAGTAGAATTTTCTTAAGAACCCGCATCGAAAATCACATTGACAAAAGAAAAACAAGTCATTCAAAAACTTTATTTGACAAAACTTTCATACTATATATCAGCAAATTTCAACAGCCACTCATTTCGGATTTAATACAAAATATAAAACGAGTAAAGCATATAATAAATATATTTCTTTTTAGATCCCGATGAGTAGAAAAATTGTCTGACGTTTCGTGACTTAATGTAAGCCACTTACTCAGAGTAAATAAATAATCGACATTACATTAACACAGCTTTAAATAGTATTATTTATTTGGATTTAAAAAAAACGGATATGGCACTAGATTATATATGCTTGTTGTTAATAAGTACACAGATCCACTATTTATTTTAACGGATTTCAACGATTATTCATTTCGATTAACTACAGATGAAAAATATAATTGTTGATTCACATATTTACATTGTAACAGGTGTTAAAACAGCGGAAAAATATAAAACCCCACTACCTACACTGGTCAATCCTCGTGTGAACACATCCCATAACAGCCATGGTCCGCAGTTAATAATCAATGGTTTAATGCCAGTTGTCTCGTCGGCGAAATTAAATCGAGTTACTAAGAGAACTTCAAACCAAGAATATTACCGAACAGTTTTAAACGAATAATGAGTATTTACATAGAAAAATTTAGGATAATCGCTCAAATATCGAAAGTCTATGCTGTAATTAGATTCATTTAACGATAAATCAGTATAAATGTAAATAAGAATAGTTTACAATTCATTAAAATAAGCAACAAAATCAAAGTTCTGCAATCACAGTAAACAAAAATGGTCAAGATAAGTCAGTAAACAAATGTGTCTCTCTTATTTCTGTCAATAAATTTTTCCCTGTGAATATTTTTTTGTAATGAAAGTGATTTCAATTTACTTTCAATTAAATCAAATCAGTTTCAGCTTAATGGATTTTATTTAAACAATCAAACAATAATGTTAAAGCTTTTTACACATGCTAGTGTTGGCCACACTACTTTTGTTTGTCATACACTGAAAAATGTAATTTCAAACACAGAAATTGATTTTCATTGTTCATTCGATTTACTTAGTTCTATTGAATCACTACCAACTTGCCAAATGACTTTCACAATTGCAATTTATCCTTTGGTGAATAAGGCTGGATGCTTGAAAATAGGATTCATATTGTGCTCGCGAATCGAATCTCTACACATGATCGATACTTAGTAGTGAAATTACTGAAGATAGTAAATCAATTTTGATGTTTTATCAGATTGTTGATTTAGTTTATTTGTAGTCTCAGACGTAAATACCTATTTTTAACTTATCTATATACCATCCATACAGAAATATTTAAAACTGAGTTTCTCATAACAGTTATTAAACATGATATTTAAATAAACAAATAAATTGTACACATCAAGACCACATTTAGTGCATCCCCAAAATATCAATTATCAATTTATGCTAGAAAATACTAATTGTGATGTCTCTCAATAAAATTAGTATTATATTTTAGTGAGAAAAAAATGTTATCACAGAATTTAAGCATATTAAAAGTAATCCCATCAGGACATTTATACTTTGAAAAACTGAACAGTAATTTATCCTTCAAATAGATTGACTAAACTTAGTTAACAATAATTTTAAGGAAAAACTAGTGAGAATTAACCAGATGTTTATTCTTGTTTTCTAAAGTATCCTGCGTCGGTAAGCACACACATAACATATTGGACTGTTCATCATTTTAAATACACACCTCTGGAAAACTTTTGATGTTACATTTAGATTTATATGTTTTTGACCTAAAAAGTGTAGGTACACAGAAAACTAGATTTTCTGAACAATTAAAAACTTATTCATTGAAACACTTTAAGTTAACACTAGTAATTCATATTCTTTAGCTAAGTAATTCAGTGAAGTTTTCACAAGCGTGATAGTCCAAATAATAGCAAATTGCTATAGTTCCAACATTTTGGACGATGATACAATAATATGCGAAACCAACTCAATTAAATAGTAAACCTTAATGAAATAACTATCTATCAACAGGTTGATTCGAAAACGATTGATAAATAGTTTCTCCGAAACTATATTAATTTAAACAAGCGTTACGTTAAACCGTTTTAAATAACACCGAGACTACTAGCGAAAATCATCCTTTCGATAGTTATTATTTACATTATATTACTGGTTAGCACAAGCATATCACTAATCCACTCACCACCATTGATTACTATCAGAACTGGGTAATAAAACGTACATTTAACCAACAAATAAAAAATTGATGAAAACATCTAAGCAATGATCTGATATAATAATCCTGGAAACTTTGAAACAAAGACTTTTTGTCAAAAAATATAATTGATCAGAACATAAACTGAAACCATGTACAAATGATATCTTTCACACAAAATTATATTTATTCACATGAGTTAGAAAGCACATAGGAAAGACTATACAAAAGGATTTATTTCAAAATAATTATTATCTTTATTAGCTGATAGAGCTTGTGGTAAATTTAATAGTTTACGTTTTTGTAGCAGTCAGACCCATTTGTTCTAATTCAGCAAATAGTTTATTGGCTTCAGTTTCAACTTCTGGTCGGTCATCTTCTAACGCTTCTGATAGAGCTAAGAGTGAATCTGATACAATACAACTGACAGGACCAGAAAGTTTTGAATCCATTATAATATCCTTATCATTGTCAATTTCATGATCATTTGAATGATTAAAGACAAACTTCAACAATCGAATTGCAGCCAACCTAGTACGCCAGTACGTGGAGTGCATAATACGTTCAGTCAGTGCGGAACCGAGTGGACGAAGATAGGCTTCATCACCGCATATTGCATTCAAATATGAGCCTAATACATCTTGAATATCAGTTTCATTTATTGGGGGTGCATCAGAAGATGGACAAGATATATCGAGTAATCCAATTAAAACAGAAGGAATATATTGTACTGATTCTCCAATTGAGGCAGCATCCAGACATCCAACGTTTTCCACCTCACCAATAAGCCATTTATGCAAGCATGACAATGAAGCACGAATACAAATTAAAACACAAGATGTAGCTCCATCAGAATAGCATTGAAGCGATCGGCCAAAACCTAACCGATTGGACAGTTTTTTAGCACCTGCAGAAACAAAATTTTAATGATTTAAAATGTAAATAAAAGATACAATTCGGCACAGGAAATGAGAAATTTCTGTAAAGCATTGATAAATAAGAGGAAATAGCATCAAGTGATTCACCATAACAAGACATAACCTGCACGGAAAATTGTTTAATGTCATTAATTTCATTTAATATTGAGACAGTACAACTGATTTGAGATGAGTTCTGGAATGGTGGTAGGTGTGTCAAACTGGCAGCCTTTTTATTGATTCTACTTATAAAATACGAGCTAAATATACCTCAAAAGATAAAACTACTGATCAAGTGACTAAATATTGAAATTGTTACTAATCTACAAAAATAATCAATACATCACAACCAACTTCAAATATTAGGGGTCTTTTTAGTTATCCCGCAAATGTTATATCACTTTGTTTTGTTGTCTTCATTTGTAACTGGTAGTCTATAACTCCTATCATCTTAATTTGCACTTGCCTTTATTTTGATTGTTTTTTTTTCGATTGACCTCTGACCATGTGATTAATTGACCTTCTCCATGATATAGTGCTTACAGAATAACTAGATAGATCACTTCTATGTGAAATAGGCATCGATTGTTTTGTCCAGAACGACAATGCAAGCTCGAGAAGGAAACCATGTAGCTCAGGGAACACAACACCACCAAATTAGTGTATTAAAATTGTTACTAATCTACAATATAATCAACGCTGAATCCATTAATCAGTCAGTCAGTCAGCTACAACGTAGGACCAGGCACATATGTGCATCGGTCCAGGTTGCCATATCGCATCATCGGATGTCGGCCCAGAGGTTTAGGCGTTGAGCGCCTGTCAAGAGATAGAGAGCATTGGGTTCGACCCCAAGGGGCCGTGGATGTCTGCCACTGAGTCCCACACTACGAAGAAACGGTCATCTATTTTTTTTAGTTTTTAGTGGTTCTCTAACTAAAATCAACCCATGATGTAAACTGAAAATTCAACTACCTCCACAGACCTCTGTACTAAAGATAATATATAGTAGATCAAGTGTTTTACGTCAGACTTACTAAAAGAGTACCGAACGGACGCAGGATTAACAAAACACTGAATAACAACTGAAGAATTCAATTTCGTAAATGATAGGGTGCTCGCAAGAAGTGAGTCATTAGATTAAAACAAGACTAAATCTGAGAGCAATACAGGTTGATTATTCTAACAAACGTGAAATTGAATGCGACAAATCGGAATAAATCACTGAATTGAAGAATATATGGAACTCAAAACAACTATCAACCAATATCAAAGTCACAATCTTCAATACAGACATCAAGATGGTCTTACGGTACGGAGCTGAAACATGGATGAACTACCACAATCATCATCAAAAAGGTGAAAGTGTTTATAAACAGTTGTCTACGCAAAATACTCAATATTCGTTGGTCGGATACCAGTATCAGCCCATTGTGGGAGAGGACAAACCAGTTTCTAGCTGAAGTGGAAATTAGAAAAAGACGTTGGAAGTGGATAAGACATACATTACAGAAATCAACGAACTGCATCACGAGGCAAACACTAACTTGGAATCCTGAAGGGAAACGGAAAAGAGGGAGGCCGAGGAACACAATACATTGAGAATCGGAAGCAGATATGAAAAGGATGAATAGCAACTGGAAAGGATTGCCCACGATAGGTTTGCATGGAGAGTGTTGGTGGGCGGCATATGTTCCTCGACGAGGGGTAAGTAATTGAGGTTAAATAAATTTAATCAATCACTATATCATTTTGAGTAACCTTGAAAATTAGTATATCTAATAAGTTAAATGTAATGTGATTTGGATGCTGTGACTTTTTCAGTTGACATCTGTTACCACTAGGTGCTTACAATTGACCATACATTTTACTTAAGTCATTTCATACCTCAAATCTAAACATAATCGACTTTAACTCATTAAAATAGCAAACCTTTAACATACCCTTAAATTTATTACCGACAGCTATGATGAATATTAGAACAATATAATCAACTAAATACAACTGTTTGCTTAGTTCAGAAAATTCTTCTGTGTTCAGATAATCTGGAATTCTACAATTTGAAGAAAAGAGAAGGGAAACAGTATATTATATGAATGATAAAAAATTTATCATACACACACATTGATATTATTTACAAAATAAGAATAGTAGACAACACTGGTGTAATAACATGAACTAAGTTGAGTTCTTCAAAAATGTTTTTCGACGTCTTCTTTTACAAGTAATATTATTGGATAACATGAGAAGTTAAACAAGATATATTGAATTAATAAGTGAATTTTACACTTCAATGAATGATTTCAAAACTTATTCTAATATGCTAAAACCAAAATGCTGATGAATAAATAATAAAGAAACATTAAACAGCTATCGGATTTAAGTTTCCTCCTAACTTTAAATACTGAATTAATAATAACTTATTGTGGAGGTGAAAACTTGTGATTTCGCTGATTCGGAACACATTTTACGTATGAAAGCTAGTAGTGACATTACCCTGAAGTATGTGGAGCGGGTATCAGGCCTATGAAGTAGCGGCTGAAAGTCGAATAGATTACCTATCGATTACTGAAACAAAATATCAAGTTAATTAATTAATAAAGATAGTTTAATACTAAATAGTGTTCAGAAAAAATGCTGTCTATGCAGAATAAACAAACCTTTCCATTATCCTGAATACAACTGATAAACGTAATAGCATCTGATCAGTGATATCTTTGATTTGATCAACTGGTTCTTTTTCATTATCTTGAACATTGACCCATGTAAACAACTGTTGACAAATTCTCAGGCGAGCATTATCATCTGGTAATGAACTGATTAAACTAGCGACAGAACGGTAGAGACATAAAAGTATATCGTTATTTTTTAATTCTGTAGTATTTCGAAAATCAGCTTCATTCAGTTTATTCACGACTGTACACAAACAAGTATGGATCAAGCGCCATGTTAGGTCGGGCTGAGTAGCATGCATTGTTGCGAAAGAATGTAACTGATTCTCATCTTTAGAAGCAAACACACCGTTCTCTTTAATGGGTGCCATGGATTCGCCAAAATCAGACAAGAAAGATAAAGCACCATGTAATAAAGTCTACGAAAAAGATGGAAAGGTACATAATTTTGTTTGAAAAATAACTGATTAGGAATTAACAGAATGCATGTTTTAAAAGAACATACGTAGAAATCGATTAAGGGTAAACACTAAATTGGTGATGTGTTCTCTGAGTTACATGGTTTCCCTCTCGAGCTTGCATTGTCGTTCTGGATAAAACAATCGATGCCTATTTCACATAGAAGTGATCTATCTAGTTATTCTGTAAGCACTATATCATGGAGAAGGTCAATTAATCACATGGTCAGAGGTCAATCGAAAAAAAAAACAATCAAAATAAAGGCAAGTGCAAATTAAGATGATAGGAGTTATAGACTACCAGTTACAAATGAAGACAACAAAACAAAGTGATATAACATTTGCGGGATAACTAAAAAGACCCCTAATATTTGAAGTTGGTGATGATGTTGTCCAGAACGACAATGAAAGCTCAACAGGGAAACCACGAAACCCAAAGAACACAACATAGCTAAAACCATCTGCCAGAGTTGCGAATCTTTTCCACTAATTTAAATATCAATTTGTTAGGTCTTAAGGTACGATTGATTCATCCAGGCTATAGATGCTGTCTGACAATTCAAATTAAAATAAACCAACCAGGTATTGAACTTGAAAACAGATGACTTTGAATCAAACTAGGTAAACATACATAAAAAATGGATTAATTATCTTATAAAACATGAAAAATGTAATTCCAGAGAAAAAATACGGTAATAAATGAAACCAGATATTTTGAAGGGTTTTTTCTCAATACTTTTTCAGTTGACTGAAATAAAATAGAAAACTAAAACTATATAAACACGAAAGTTACTCTGTATAACTGGATCAATTAAACAGAAATATTCAGTGTTCATATAGTTATTTCTTGTAGTGCAACTGGAACATTGTTCATAGCTTTATGCATAAAACTGAATAGTGTTATCGAGTTGTATATATTATGAATTGTCACAGCATTGTCATTACTATACAAGGAGAAAGTTGCTTACATGAACATCATTTTAAAAAACCACAATGAAAATTTCAAATTTATAGCTAACACAGTACACAGCGAAATATTGTGTTATTTTTGAGAACTAAATCACATAACTGTTGGAGGTACTTAATGGAGGAAAATAAACTTTTTTTGTTAATATTGAAAACAACCAAATAAAACATGAAAACTTACGTTACTATTCGTTTTAGAGGCTTTTTCAATTACAATCCGAATTGATGTGAGTAAATAACTGACTTCTGTTACGTGACGGAGAAGTTTACTATGAATATGAACAAAAATAAGCGGTAAATATCATTACCAAGGTTTGACTTGATAATTTCAAATAAATTGAGCATTGGGTAGACTTTTATAAATAAAGAAATAATATATTTGCAATATCACAGTGAGTAGGACAATTAGATCTAATTTTTCTACTCGTTGTTAAATTACAAATATATTACTTTTTTTATTTATAAAATTAGGCGGCTAAACGCTGGACATTTCTAAGAAATGAGATTTCTAGAGCTTATTTTCAGCTAAGAAATTATATAAATTCAAACGGCTAACTGTGATGGTAAACATTTTGGTTATGAAAGATGAGTTCCGTAACAATAAAACCCGAACAGAGAACAAGATAATACTTACTTTATATAACACAGAGAGAGGCTTCAGTTCAAGTAATCACATCCACTAACAAAATCAGAACATATAATAGGCTCATTATATTCGGTATTAATTAATACTTAACTTAATGAGTCTGAAACGCCCCTAAATCAAAAGTGAAAACCACAACACACTTTATATAAAGAACGTTGATTTTAGCGATAAATAAATGGTCGGATAAAGTGGAATATACCTTATTTCAGTAAAACAACATGTTTGTTAAATCTTTCAGTTACACTAGATGTAATTAGTCTTGAAAACTAAAATGTTTTATCACCGAATCTATAGGACATAAACGTACAATTTCTTTAGTGTAACTCTTTCAACACAGAATCCATAACACCAACGATAGGTTTAAGTACTATGCTCTAGGTCACACTTTTGGTTCAAGAGCTAATGAGATGACCCATCTGCCTAAAATAAGAAAGGAGGACCGGACGACTCCTTTCCCACTAAATATATGTATAACGAGAATGAACACTTAGGTCACATGTCATCAATTGCTTAGGATACAGACAACTTATTGGCGTTACATACCATAAACGTTAATGAGTACTATCAAAAAACCCACTAGCTTTGGAAGAGGCATTTCGTGAACCATTTATTTAGTTGAGTGAGAAAACAACATAGGCAGACAGAGCAATAGATATATCTAGTTATATCATATTATATGGTGTAGGTGAATATAAGATAATATAGTTATGGACTGAATGCCAATTAATAAGTGAACTCGGGCTTTAGAATTTCGATTGTAACGGGGTTTAAGCGATAAAATCATCTAACTGAGAGTTGATATTGTTAATATATTGGCAACTTCTGAGTATCTTGATGGTAGTAGATTTGAGATAGTGTTATGCAACTAGAAATAGTCTTTTATTAGTGTAAACATTGTGCACAAAATATATACACAATACTTTCAAAGTTTGCTAAGAAATAGTCACTAAATACTGTGTAACTTACTGTATGTGTTCAACAAGGTTTGAAATCTGACGAAATACAGAACCAGAACGTTCCGGATTACAACCTGTTAGTGTGACAAGTTATCTTTGCGGAGCTGAAACACAAAACTTAGAAGTGTTACTGCAACAGGTTCTTGATAGGCAGAATTATTCGCATTTTTCTTAGTTGTACTCTCAAATTCTAACCACTTTCCAATAGCCGATTCAGTATTGTCTGAAGAATATTCACCTTTAGACTGTTGACATAACCGATGAATGATGGCTAACTCAAGTAGATTGCTGACCAGCGTTAAACTAGCCTGAAAGAAGTCAACAAAAGACCATAAAGTGAACATTATTCACACGACCTCAGCAGTGTTAAAAATAACTTGCTAAGTATGTTTAGACTATGAATTTCTAAAGTGAAAAAAGCCAGTCATTAAATTTAAACATCGATGTTATGCATCAAAAGGATGCAGACTCAATCGTTTCCACTTTCCTCTTGACTAAAGAGTCAATAAGTCAACAGTTAACTTCAATACAAAGTTACCTAAATACTATGAATGTATAAATGCCCCTCTACTTTTCGCTTTTGCAATTTAAACTTCCTTGATCTAAATACTTTTAGTATAGGAATATAAAAAAGTTTTTGGTATGTAACTAATTAAAGATTTTCAGGTTAATTGTTAAAAAACGGCATTCACTCTCTGAATTAAAAAAAATCGGTAAGCAACTTAGCTTCCAGAACTTTGACTAATGTACGCCTTGATTTTTAATTCTATAAAAGGTTCAAAAAATGTAAAACACTTGAAAACATATTCATAATGTTTAGATAAACACGTACCAATAAGTGCTGATCTCTTGAGTGCATAGTACCAGTCACCAATTTCATGTAACGATCTGATTTACATGGTGAGTTCACAGAACAACATTGTTTTACAGACAACTTTGGTGAAGAAGCAAATGATGTACAAGTATAACCATGGTCTAATGCAAAAGAAAGCAACCAACTAAGGCGGGATGTAGTTGCGCTCGCTTCCGGATATAAAGACTGTGGTGGTAAACGTTGTAAACATTCAACAAAAAACAAGCAGGCTAAGGATCTTGACTCAGCAAGAGATGACCCGAAATGATGTCCATGCGGATTGCTTTCCACAAGCGGTTCATCAGTTGAGTTTACTGAAGCTTGATGAGCATCTATAGCACCAACATTAATCCACCAATTACTAGGAACTGTCATTAAACTGTCCAAAGCCTACAAGAAAAGAAATTCAACATAAAACCAGAAAAATCTCAGTATGAAAACATTATTAAAACTGAGTTTCAGTTAGGATTCTTTAAAAATGAAACAAGCCTTTAAATCTGAGAAAAAATGTATATATACCTGCTTCGGTTTGGGCTCCCGGGCAGCATCTCAGCCCTCACAAAAATCGAATGATTTAAATGGCGCATATATATTCGGTGCCTCATGGTACCAATGTTTATGTGTTTAAATAAATAAATTGTCAAGTGGAAATCATAAGTCTGTGAAACATCTAGTTTAGAAAACTTGAACCCAAATTATATAAACACTTTAAGGATGATCAATACGTAACATGAAGTGTGACGAATGACTAAATTCGAGTGAAATCTTTTAAAACTGGAAAATCAAGTCTTGAATATTAAAAATGATCATACGTTACTTGTAGGTAAACGTTTAGTCGACATTTAGTTTACAAATATAATGGGTTAGGTTGACTATACTATACTTGCTAATCGCGGATTTCAATAACACAAATATTAAGCATAGTTCACAAGGTGAATAGCGTAGTGTCATATATAGCAGCTAGGCGATTATGCTTTAACTGATGGGTCATTATATTTACTAAGGAATTTTTAATAAGCATTCTACAAAATAGTTAAGAGTTATATACATGAAATTACCCTCATGAATTCCCCTGGATAATGGTAGGCCAATAATTTCGTTAAACTCCTCAAACAAGCTAGACATTGGCGTGAAAATCCTGAACCAAAAACGTTAGTATGTTTTGACCTCAGGGAACCATCCGTCTTGCCACTTTTCAAATTATAGAATGAAATTAGCTTCCCAGTAAATTGAACTAAACCAGCCTCCATGGTACGATTTAGATCAACAAAATTTCGGCTAACTAAATGTTTATGCGACTTTAGGAAAGATTTGTAATTCATTTTAGTAAAATCAATTAAAATTGGAACTGGTTGAACATTTGCAGTTAAACTTGTCAATTTAGCAGATAACAAGTCGAGAGCTTTCCGACGAAGTCCACGGTTTTCACAGGAGAATAAATCTAAGATCATGGAAATGAATACTCGACCAGGCACTGAATCCAAGATCTATGTACAAAAATAAAAATCAGATTAATAGAGAAATTACCATCATGTTATCCATAAAGACAATAAAAAGTAAAACCATTGTAGAACAAAAATATACTAAAATAAACTGAAGATCAATTTGTAAAGCTTTTTTTAAATAAAAATGTACATGAGATGAGCTTACATATACCAGCGCTATCAATTACAAATCTGTTCAAAATTTCTATTTACTTAGGACCTTTTATCTAAATAGAATCCCCCAACAAAAGAGTACACCACATAGTAGAAGTTAACTTTTCTAAATGTTACAAATGTTCGCTGACTGCTTGATCTTCAGTAATTATTTGTCAAAGTAAAGAATACATCAGAAAGTCCAAAAAATGATATAATTTTGAGAAATTAATTAATCATGCGTGTAACATCAAAATATTTATTCATATCACAAACAAAGTCAAATTAAAGAGGAAGAATGTATTTGTAAAATCTCAGCGAATGATTTGAAGTAAATCCAACGTTTCGCCTGGCAATCTAGTCTAAGCTTTTTCAAGGAAAATAATAAATTGTTTCAAGATGACCATTATTGAGTCACGATAAATTTCAAATTAAAAGAATGGTTCATATATAGTACTAATTGTTAAATACCCTTTGTACTGAAGTTTTGGTTTACTTGTGTCGAAATAAACACGATTCGAGATTCGATCCACAAATTTTGAAGATCTGAATTTATTTTCACCAAACTATTCCAAATTTATTAAGGAAAAAAGTTTATATCGAATGTATTCGTGAACGTAAGTTCTGAATGGTGATATAATCCCTATATCAATCCCACCAAAAAGGACACGGACATGAATTCCCTGTGAATTATCAACCTTTAATAATTAATCATGCGCTCTGTGTTTTGGCATCATGGGTAACAGTGAATATTTTACTGTACAGAGCATTAATTACAGTTTGGCATATGAGTTAGCATAAATAGAACAATTAGTTTAAGGGTTGACGTCCTCAAAACTAAGAATACGAAATCAACGTTATACATGACAAGCAGTACAACACACTATAATGAATTAGATTTTTTGGTACCTAAAGATTACCAATGATTATTTATTTAATATTAACTTGATATGAAACCGATTAAAAATAGGCAATAAAAAGTTAAAATATTGCAGTATGAAAGATGTCAATTTTATTTTGAATTCAATACTAATCAGCAGAGATAGATTGTGGCTAGGAGTGAGATCTACGAGGCGCATCGCTTCATCCTATTTGGGAGTCGGCAGCTGGATGCACCTGTATCCGCGTTAATCTTCACCCTGGGACTCGAACCGAGTACCGATCTTTTCAAACTCCGTCGCGTTATGCACTTAGCAGACCAAGAAGCAGAAACCAACAGAGATGCTTGATGCTATTCAATTATGGCAAAGCCCCTTTGCAAATTAGAAATATATTATCTAATGACGATGAAATAGATAAAATACTAACCTGTACTAAAATTGATTGCAAACCGGACAATGTTTCATCAGCACAAGAGACTACATCCGTCATTTTTTCATCGGATTTTTTTACTTTCGTCAAGAAAGTAGCCACAACGAGCATTAGCCGAACAATATGTTCCACTAATCGGCCATAAACAGCACTTAAACCTGATGGATCGCTAAAAGCTGTTTGAACTTTATCACAATAATCAGGATTTCTTATTAGGGCTACAATAAACTGTATAGTTCGATTGACTAAGGGCCATATTTCCTTCAACGTCACAACTGTAGAATTGTTCAAAGATGTTTGGATTTGTTCACTTGTTTGAATTGTGTTATCTGAATTGAAAATAAAAAACGCGAGTTGGCCGAAAGAAGTCGGCGTGTTCTGAATAACGTCGTTTGACAGAGATCCGGTGACACCAATTGATAAGTCGCTGGTTGGTGATTTGCTGGGATTCGCAAATGACGAACTCAATTTTAGTCGCTTTTGAGAATGACCGATTTCAATGTAGACACTACCGCTGTTCTCTGAAACGTCAACCTACAAAATGAAGACAATAAAAATTAAGGGAGAAAGCATAATAATTGGAATAAAACAACTGTAAAATGAGAAATGTAACATTCTTTTCAAACAATAAATCAACACAATCTACAGTCAGTCAGTCAGTCAGTAACAACGTAGAACTTCGTACGTACGTACATCAGTTCGAGTTGCCACACCACATTAGCACAGAGATGCACTTGTCGATTCAAATCCCGTAGTGGTAGAGGTAATAAGAGTATAAGCAGTAATCGGGAAGATTAGGGTTTGGAGATGTTATTTAAAGAGTATAATCCAGTGAAAGAAATTTGGAAAGAGGAAAAAAAGGGACATGAAGAATTCAGAAGATTAGAATTTGGGAGAACACAGAGAGTGGATGCACCTGCGCCATTGCAAACGATTTTGAGCCATGTCATTCAGGGTCTCTAACCAACGGTTGCTGTCATCTCGCGGTCCCCAACCAGGTAGTCTACACCTACCAACATGACTCAGTTCACTTGTCAGTGACTTCATGGACTTGTGCCATGTTTTGGTTTGGCCGCCCCTAGCTTTCTTCCAACCTACTCCTATACCACTGAACATAGCACGTCGAGGCAGTCGGTCGTTGGGCATACGTAACACGTGTCCCAGCCATCTCAACTGATGAAGTTTCACTACGTCATCAATTGATTTGCCATCCTTACCTAGTACCCGTTTCCTAACAACTGTGTTACTTACTCGATGGTCCCATGATATATGAGCAATGTTTCGAAGACACCTATGATCAAATACTAGTAACCTACGGATATCCTCTACTCTTACCGGCCATGTTTCACTGCCATAAAGTAGGACGGAACGAACTGCTGCGCAGTAAACACGTCCTTTGGTTGATAGACGGATATCTCGCCTACGCCATAAATGACGCAAGTTGGCAAAAGCTAGTCGAGCCTTCTGTATCCGTGCTGAGATTTCGTCACACACTAAACCACAAGGGCTGATGAGACTTCCAAGATAAGTGAAGCGGTCGACACACTCAACTACTTCACTCCCTATCACTAGTTCGGGTGTCGATGTAACCCAATCCTGAAGCAACATTTTGCATTTCGAGGGAGAGAATCGCATCCCGAACATGCTTGCATTGTTGCTTAGAGTGGCCAGAAGACTCTGCATTTTGTCAGTGTCTTCACCAAATAAAACTATGTCATCAGCATATTCTAAGTCAACAAGTGAACCTCCTGGTAGAAGTTCAACCCCTGTAAATTTAGATGAGGAGAGTGTTATCTCTAAAAGTACGTCGACCACAAAGTTGAACAAGAATGGGGAGAGTGGACAGCCCTGACGAACACCACTTGAGGTGATCAATTCTGATGACAGTTCGCCATAAGCTCTCACTCTACCAGTTGTGTTCGAGTAGAGAGCCTTTATAAGGTTAATGTACTTCTTTGGTACTCCTTTCAGTGACAAACACTGCCATAGAACCTCACGATCAATCGAGTCGAATGCCGCCTTAAGGTCGAGAAATACTACCATTGTGGGGCGTCTGAATGTGTGTCTGTGTTCTAGAACCTGACGTAGTGTGAATATCTGATCTATACAACCACGTCCAGGTCGAAAACCAGCCTGGTTTTCTCTAGTCTGCTCTTCACGAGCTTTAGTTAGGCGTCGAAGTATTATTGAAGCTAATATTTTAGACACTATATTAGTCAAACTGATTCCTCTGTGATTGTCACAAGAGGACTTTTGTCCTTTCTTAAAAACTGGCACAATCAGTGATTGAGACCAGTCAGATGGGATTACGTCCAGTTCCCAAATTCTACCTAAGACCTCAGTTAATCTCATTGCTAATACTGGACCACCATCCTTAAAAATCTCAGGAGTAAACCTGTCAGGGCCTGCTGCTCTCCCTCGTTTCAGATTTCCTATGGCTTTTTCAACTTCGTAAAGGGACGGAGGACCTACATTAACTTGCCATTCAGGTTGACTGGAGATCGTGGGAAACCGAAGTGTGGCTGAAGGCCAGTTGAACTGATCCCTAAAGTGTTCTGCCCATCGATCCAATCTCCTGGATTGAGAATGAATAATATGTCCATCTTTCTCTGAGATTGTTTCGCTAACGGTCGGGTTCCTAATTCCGGTTTCCTTAACGAGTCTGAACAATTGTCTGCTATTACCTATTGCCGCTGCCTTTTCCATCTCTCTTGCTTTCGCTACCCACCACTGTTCGCGATCATTGCGTAGACTTCTTGTCAGCTTGCGCTTAAGCTGACTCCGCTCTTCATTATGTTCAGAGCCAGGTGGAATGTGTTTCCGAGCATCTATCAGTGAGATAGATGCTGCTGAGATCCAGTGTTGCTCCCTAACCTTCTGGTTTACCTTACTAGCAGATATCACTGCTGTTTCCACAGCTTTTCGGATATCATTCCATGCTGCATCGGGGTGGGCATCACATACATGGCTGCCTAACTGTTTTCCTAGTTGTTCCTGAAATATACTCTTAGCTTGACTATCATTAAGTAGGGCCCTAAGAGGTTTCCTTGCAGGGTCTTTCCTACGTCCAGTAAGACGCAAGCAAATACGCGCTCGCACTAGAGCATGATCTGAATCTAGGCATGTGCTCCAGAATGAGCGACAGTCTTCTATCGAGCCCCTCCATCGGTGGCTGATAGCGATGTGATCTAGTTGGGTCCAACGTTGGGACGAATTAGGGGGTCGCCATGTTAAAAGATGTTTTTCCTTATGCTTAAAGTTAGTATTTGCAAGGAACAGGCGGTTATCTGAGCATAGCTGCAACAGACGGTCGCCATTATCTGTTCTTTGAGCCACGACACCATAAGATCCACCTAGGTGTCTTTCCTTATCACTTAGTTTGCCTACTTGAGCATTAAAGTCACCGGCCACTATTACTACATCCGAGCGCCTAGCTTTTCGGAGAAGGTCCGAAAGCTTTCTGTAAAACTCATCTTTTACATCATCTGAGCTGCAGTCAGTGGGAGAATAGGCAGAGACGACGAAGAGGCAACGACGAGTGTCCCTATCTTTCCGGATTCTTACTGTTCCGTTCAGTCGGACAGCGCACAAACGACTGTCTATTGGGATCCACTCTAAGAGAGCTAGTTCTGCCCTAGGACTCAATGCTATACCTACGCCGGCGAGGCCACGGGAAGCAGAATCAGGGCTTCCAGATACACGAAGCGTAAATCGAGTCGGTTCTTTATTTTGGCATGGTGAGGTCAAATGAATGACGCTACTTGGATCCTGTATGCGCGTTTCGGAGACGCAGCACACATCGATGGCGCGAGATTCTAAAGTTTTAGCTAAGGAAGCCTGCTGTCCTATTTGGCAAAGTGTTCGTACGTTAAAAGCTCCTACGTGTAGTTTAGAGCGTGGTTTCAGGAGACCAGGAATGGCGTTCCACGTACTCGAATCGTTTGCCCTAGCGGTGCGAGGTGATAAAAAGACGTGAGGAGGGTTAGTCGGGAGGATAAGAGAAGTATTAGGAGGTGTAGGAAGGATTTGAATGTGACCACCTTGGTCTCTTGTGCTGTTACGGGTATGAGGGCTGATGTCACTTCCCGGCTGCCCACACCGTGGAAGGGTATTTCTTGAGGAACCTGAAAAGGAAATTGGATTAGTGTTGGTCTTGACGACCTGGGAGCGTGACCGCAGAGCCCAAGGGACAACTGCTTGAGGCCGGTCGCGCACGGCCTTTTTGTGGAAGGTTTTTGACGTGTTAGCTCCGTTCTTCAAGGGGCCTTACCGCCGGAGACGGAAATCCGTGAGGTAAGGTGAGGTGTGCATTTTTAGGGTCGACCTTTTCTAACCCCACCCCTCCTTGTGGGAAGGCAGCATCGCTGTCATGCTGGTTGTCCGAGGGAAACACCTTACTGCTGTCACACCTCTCTACAGTCAGCAGTACGACTTCGCCCTCAGACCTTGAGTTGCTGCTTTTAGTCTTACCGTTCGCCAATCGACCTGCCTGGCATGGTAGAACCTGCAGGAACATATGTTCCAGCCAATATAGCTCGGTTGGGTCATCACGATAGGCAAGCCCGATCACCGCGTCAAGGTAGCAGCTTCGATCGGGACACAATCTACAAAGTTCCCAAAACTCCTCATGCGGTCAACATCATCCATTTTACAGGAACAACGAACACTGGCTAGTGTAAACGACTGAACATTCATCAGTGTCACAGTTTATGGCCTCTCAGTTCTTATTCGTAAATACTCTTCGTATGGTATACAGACTGTAACTATTAAGGTATGTCATACGGTCTTACTACAAAAAGTAACAACTAACCCTTAGTACAATGAAAATATTTACCAGCAATATTTTGAATTCACACACTCAAATGCATCACAGATGATTGCTCTCAAAATATTAGGAAACAGAAAAACATTGAGGAAACGAAATTACACAGGGAGGATTCTAACAATGGACATAGTTTTATTTTCTCCATATAGTTTACAAATCGTAAGACCTATATGTCATTTAAATTTTTAGTAAAAATAATGTGAGTGATCGTGCGAGAAAAGTGACCCAACAACGAAAGTAGAACAATCATTACGTTAAAATATGAAACCGAATTTCAGAGTGAATTAACATCACACACATCGGACTTTAGGTGTTCTCTCGACAGATTGAATATTTCTACAGTGCTCTTCTTTATCGTGGTAAGCGAAACTGAGATATTGTAAATGCGTGGAATCGAAACCTTACTTATAAGAACTTTTTAAGACTTACTTGAGGAAGCTTATAATCACAAGAATTCATACACAAATATGTCAGAAAATCTATGCATTCACATAGTCCAAGCACTTGATGATCCCATCCAAAATGACAGAACAACTCGATAAGAAAAGGTCCAACTTCATCAGCTAAAAACGATAATTAAGAAATATAGATTATACATATTATTAATTACTACAACCTTGGAAAATAATTTACATTTACATTATTATTCTGGGCTACAAGTCTTTCGAATTCATTACGGAACGAGTACTAATGTAACGTAACTACTAGATTGAACGAAACTAGACAATGAAATCCTGAACTTATTTTAGGGATCATGAGAAAGTCTATTTCCCCTGGAAATTGCAATTGTCGACACTCATGAACCATATAAAGTAACATTCTCCAGGAAAAATATCTTTGAGAAAAAGATCCAAATGTAATTATTTCTAAGTTGAGTAGTATAAACTAAAACTAACCTGGAATAGTTGTGTATGCATCTATCCACTAATAGTAACAACTAAATATTGTATGTGATCGGACGATAAGTGCTGGTAATAGTAGGCTAACTCAAAGATTATAATGATTAAGATACACCAAATAGACAAAGCTGAAACCGTAAATACTATTCATAACTATCGAATTTTTTATGTACCTGGAATGACAAAAATTGAAATCAGACATAATTTTATGATGACTATTGTCAATAATCACAGTTTATGAGGGATGACTAAAGATGTTTTTTGAGAAATTGGAGCTAAATTAAGTTGAAGAAAAATAGAAACCAAAAAAATTATTCAGAACCTACCAACTGATTGTATTGGCCAATTTTTGTTCAAGAATAAAAGTGATGTAACCCACAACCAACTTCCAATCCAACTTTCCTTAGGCCGTAATGAGATTTTACATTCATTTCCACGTGCAGCCCCCTCAACTTTTTTGGGTGGTTTTATTTCATCTGTAATTTGTTTTTGTGTAATAGACTGATTTAGTTCACTATCTGTTATGAATGGTCCAGTTACTTGAGACAAACCACGAATTAGAACAGTGTAAAGTGCTAAGCGACGCCGAGCCAAATTAGTGAACTCAGCAAATCTGATAACAAAGAGATATAGCACATAAAGACCAGCAGAAATTTGCTCAGAAGACGATCGAATAAGCGCTGGAACAGTTACTAATATCAGACGTCCCAAAATACTAAGATTATGAGCGTTATCCAAACGCATAAGCTGACGATTGCACGCAACCCATTGCACCAAGGACACCAAATGGTGACATAATGCACCCTAAAAAATAAGTATAAAAAGTAACCGTTAAAAAAGTAAAAGTAAAATGAAATAACTTAACTACACTTCACTGCTAAAAACCAGTTTTAATGCAATAGAATATTTTATTGGATACTGTTGGTCAGTCAATCGCTGGAAATGTAACTTATATATCCTATATGTTATAAAATGAGCTTGTTAATAAAAAACTATGTCGCTAAAAGGTATTGTTGCTTTAAAATATATTTAAATACAACTAAAGATAGGTGTGAACACCATGAACCTATTTCACGAGAAAGTCAACAAAAACAGATGTAATTTCTATTTAATCCATACAGCTATTTAACTCGCCGATTAAATATCTTTCTAAGGTTTTCACTAATTCTAGAATACAAATTCAGTTAAGGGTTATTGAGTCCTTTGGAAAACATCTATGGATACGACTTAATTTTAAAAACCTGCAATAGTAACCACTGGCCTAATATTAATGATAAACAACATTGTGAGTGAAAATTCTATTGTTTAGTCTAACAGATATTCAATGTTAACATTAATAAATTGATTAACAAATCTTATTATTATGACGCACAAACTACCAATTATAAATGCAACACAAACTTACGGGAAACATGACAGAAAGTTCGATAAAGCAAAGCAGAACTTGTTGATGCAAGGATATCCAGTCAGGGTAAACAGTGAGGCAAAGGAAAATTGGATCTACAGCAACTTGTGCCGATGTTAAACCATAAAGTAAACCTGTCTGGTCCGTTGGTGTTTTCCGATGAGAACGTTTTCTACGAGGTCGCTTACAACGATTTCCTTCGGCAAATATAGTTGTGATGCAAATCAGAAGTTTATAAATGCACTGACGTAACAGTGGTCGAATACAGGAGTTTTCATTAACGGGCGACATATCTGCTGCTTCTTGATCCATATGGATATCAGACAAATCACCAGGTAGCGATTCTAGATCACTATCTGTATCAACTCTGGGAGAACATTTGTTTGATTTGCATTTGCTTCTATTTGTTTCAAATTCCGTTCCATGTTTAATATGCTACGAACATATAGAATATCAGGATAACATTCATGGTAAAACAAACAGAATTCATAAACTTATTTTGTAATTCTCGATAGAGATTATTCCCAAAATGATGATAAGTTTAGTGTCATTTGGCTAAAATAAATGCTTTGATTACTTTTACGACAGTTACCTACAAAGAATATTACAATGACTAACCTTTGCTTTAAGTACAGGAAGTAACTAAGTGGTAAGTACATTCTTCAACAAAAGTAGACGATTTTAGACAGTTAGCATACTTTAGTAATAAGAGCTTAGGTTATCTTGTTGATATTACGAACTTAATTGAGATCAGTCTTTGTTGACACTTGTGGATCCTGTGCGGGTCGTTTCGATATTACCATTTGGTCGACAAGTATTTTTAGCAAAGTTGATTAGTTAGTAGCTAGTAGCAGAATCTAGGAAGAGTGTTTCATTTTATTTGAGACTCGCCAGATGGACGTACCTGTACCCTAGATTGGATGTTCACACTACGACTCGAACTCATTACTTTTCGGTTGAAAAAACGCGTCACCTACTGAACTATTAAGTCTAAATACCAACAACCTATTCAACGGACATGAATTTTACATCATTAGTAAGAAGTATGAGTTATACCCTTGTCTATATTACGGAATTATTAGAAAGACTTTTGATTAACTTCTACTCATAATAATATGTGAATTGGATTAATGAGTGATATAGTGCTTTTTGTATAATATTGCGTTATAAGGAAATGGTCATTTTATGTACGAGAAAAAACAAAATACTTCTACATTTAATCTAATACATTAATTAATTAAAAACCAAAATTATAACACCCATCTAGCGTTGTGATGCAAGAAAATGAGTTTAAAAGTGAAATTAAATATCTAACAATATCCAACCCTATATGCTACTCACCTTGTAAGATGATTAACTAATGGAGTGATCAGATCATTCATCGGCAAATTGTGATCTTTTATTTTCTTTACGCCAATATTTGGTGATTTTGTATCTACAGTTGTTAGTGATGTATTCAAATCAACAGATTTCGATTTATTCTGAACCGTAGATGCAATTTCATTGATTGTAACCGTGGCACAGCTTCAGTTAAAATAGACAATAACATACTAAGAAATCGTAAGCGAATTCTTTCTGAATAGGCTTTCTTATCATCATTTAATAATTCCAAATCAGCCTCCCTGGTTTTCCGTAGTCGTAAACTACGTCGACGAGATTCTCTACATTAAAAAAAGAAACACATTTCAAATAGATTTGCAACTTGTAAACATGATCATCACTAAGCAAAGAGTTAAGTAAGAAAATGAACAAATTAACAATATTCACAAAATGTAATCGCAATTAAGTATCAAACGTTTGAAAACACACAATGACAATATTAACATACTAGTAATCGAGTTTGTGATCAAATCCGATAATAAATACCGTATATGACATACAAAAAATCTAACATACAGAAAGCATGGCTGAATTGACCAATCAAAAGTGAATCTTACGCATAACTTACAGAAATAAATGATTACTCTTCCGTCAACAATTCAAAGATAATTTGTAATAGGTACTTTGAATTGTGGAACAACTACATAAAATAATAAGTGTAAACAAACCCAACTACTACAGTTTGAACAATTTTATAATATTCATAACCCCCATACAGTTTTTTTATGGATCAACATAATTAACTAAATTATATTAATTTACTTTAATAAATAAGCATATCAAAGCACAGTACCAAAACAAAAAGAATAATTACCGGGCTTCAGTAACTCGAGCAAATAATGACCTGCTGTCGCCACCAACTGTTCTTGACGGATCTGATCTGATGAACATATAATCGAAATGGACTGCATTTAGATGAAGCTGAAATAAAATATGATATGAATTAATCAAGTTTACCAAAAAATGAACATCGAACTTATGAATATGCAAAGTGTATCATTAGTCTATAATATATAAGTAATTATATAACAAGGGTTATGTGTTACAGATGCCTGCTGGTTAGTTAGAGGCTACTGAATTTATTACATGTTTTACGTAAGATGTAGCTTACATTTAGTAGGTGATGTGATATAGGGTTTCTGATTTCATAAATGGATGAACGTGTTTTGGATTTTTAAAATTGATAAACAGAATTATAACCAGCAGATGAAATGATACGATGTGACCGAGTAGCAGCCATTCATAATTACTGAACAATTGACCTAAACTATCGGATAACCTGAGCTCAAAGACAAGTTCGTTAGACAGAAGAATAGATCTTTGATCTAATCAAACAACATCCCTACACACAAAATATTACCACGAAAATAAACATGATTAGATTTATTAAGCGACTGAAGAATATCAGTTTCATAGGTAATTCACTCAAAGACAAAATGACAATTCACTATTAGAATTAATTCATACCCACCATATACATCATGGTGATAGTATTGCAAACAAGAAATATAGACTATTGATTAGCTCCTAATTTGCTTCAGTGAATGTAATTGATAATTTATACCTAAATTATTAAAGCCCAAATGCTTAAGATTTGCCAATAAGCTGTAGACATTACAATACTCATATATGATGTTATTTTCTCTATAATTCACCTACATTAACTTAGATTTAATCGAAAACAATAAAATGAGCCAAAGAGGATTTTCAGCTTTTTATTAGCTATGTTATATGCGCTTTTAAAGGGTACAATAGACGTGACCCAACAACCAGTGACTGTGTAGAAAGTTTACACGTTAGGCTATGGTCAATGTCAATAAACAACGATTGCAAATAGACGTAGTAAGTTTTCATTATCAATATGTATGATTTTTTTCATGCATACAACTTTCACTAGAGAGCGCAACAAAAGTCAGACAACGACCTTGAAAACATATTTTAAGCTAGCAAGAATTTAGATCTTGAACAGCACACTGTTTCCTTGTTATTTTCCCTAGAAATAAAACTACAGAATTCCAATAAAACTAAGTTCATAATCGAGGCATTCGAACAAAAAACGGATAAAATACACAATTGTTCTCATTTTACGAAATGATAAGTCTATTTAAGTGCTTTTCCCAACATAATTTACTCTTAACACCGAAATATTGAAAGTGGAACTTACACGAGAAAATACTTTGTGAACGGAATCGAAATCAGTCTGCACATTATTATGACCAAGCTTATATAAAGCGTCAAGGATACTAAATTGGGGTCCCTGATAAGGATCTGTGCTTGACACATTTCTATTGAGAGTTTGCAAACAGCCAGTTGATTTCCGCAAAATCGATGTTCTCTCTTTAATACAACCCATTGAAAGAGGAGAATGTTCTAAAGATGCAAATAATGCTGGATTAAGACGTGATAAACATATATGATGTAGATCGATTAAATGAATGTTGGAGCACTGTATCAAATTTAGAAATCCAGACCAGCCTCTGACAAATTCTTCATTTGAACTACTCGGAATAAGAAGAATATCACCGACGGTATCCTCATTTAGTAAACGTAGGCCAATCTTCCAGCAAACTATGGAAAATTTACTTTCCGGGCAAGCCTCTGAGGTACCCAAGTTCAATGTTTGACTGCAAATCAATAAAACAAAAAAAGTAAACTAAACAAGATATCATAACCTGAGCGATTTTGATCTAAAACTTTATTATTGAGGAGACTCCTAAAAGTTATCTGTAATCTGAATCAAGCTTATTGGCTTAACTCCTAAGATATCAGACATAGGATGATAAGCCGCCTACCTCGATAGGCTATGTTATTTGGTTTACGGGTGACCAAACCAAAAAGTGGTACAAGCTCGTGAAGTCACTGACAGATGGACCGAGTCATGTTGACAGGTGTAGACTACCTGGTTGGGGTCCGTGTGATAATCGTAACCAGTGGTTAGATTTTGAATGGCATGACACAAAGTCGTTTACAATGGAGCAGGTGCATTCGCTGTCTTCTAGATTCCAGGCTTATAAATTCCTCATTTTTGATCTAACTACTTTATATTTCCTAGAATCTTATCTTTGATGTGGTTATCAAGCTACCAAAACTAATCGATAACCATTTAAAACTCCGAAAAAATGATCTTAGACATCAAGATGGAATAATTAGACCTATATATATAAATATATATAGCGGTAATTAGAACGCTAGATTGTAAAGAAATTCGACTAATCTCAAATATTAGCAGGTGACGACCTAACACATTTACTGACTTCGTTGTGACATTTGATTTTCGTTCTCCTAGGATGTTAAAAATTGGAAAACTCTGACAAATGAACTAATTCACTGGATCTTACAGTAGTAATTTTCAGTTGAAGTATATCGTAATGCAATAAATATATCCTTGAAGGAAGACACTAACCTGAATAACAGGCGAACAACAGCCTTGATCAGGACAGAAGCTACTTTGTTTAATGAGTAGAGTGGATCGCCTAGGAGCAATTCTCTTACTTCCTCGGGAAACAGCTCATCTATGTGAGCTGAAAAATCCGAAGTCAAATCGAAATTTGAGCAAAAGGTAGAAAAATTCGGCATGCGTTCCAGATCTTTTGATAAATCATTCTTGAGCCAAAAGTGTAAGATATCGTACGCCTCTACGCGAATAGTAGCAGCAGGATGTGACAAGCAAGCAACTAAGAGTGGTAAAACTACAAAGTAAAGATGTTGTTACACTAATTACTATATCCAAAATCAATGTGAATAATCAAAATAAACAGAACAAACAAATACTAAACAATAAATAAAAAGTAGTGTGTACTACACAGTTAAAATGTAAATGGAGAAGTACAACTTTTATGCTAAAGAAGATTTTTGGAGTAAATAAGAGGCATGATAAGTCTATTATGTTTGTATTACAAGTAAGATCCTTTAAGCTAAAATAGATCTCTTAGAAAATTGACATCTAGTGCAATTATAGGACAAGAATCTTTGAGTCAGTCTGCCTTGTTATCGGGGACTTAATAACCAGGTTTGTCAGTAAAGATTCACAACAAACACAAGAATTTGTTCTTTGAATAACAACGATCTAATTTTTATCTAGATAAATATAGTAATATGATATATATATAATTTAGTAGGATGGGAAAAACTAACCTTTGTCAATGCCTTTCTGTAACAAACCAAATGAAGACGACATTGATTTACGGGAACATTTTGGCTTCGGTGTACCTGATGCAACTACCATCCCCTGAGCATATTTACTAGAATCAACGTGAACCTTTATGGAAGACTTAACCAATCTTAGTAATCGAATATAATGTCGTATTTCTACTTTTTTATAATGTATTTTATGCTGATCAGAATTATTGTTACCAAAACATTCATCAGAAAATATTTCAAGTAACACATCAGATAACCAACACTCAGAATTTGGTAAAGGTCCGCTAGGACAAGATAAAGTGCAATTCATTACACAGCAGCCTACATTAGGGATGCTCGACAAGAATGCATGAATTTCATCGATTTTCAACTTGAGCTCTTCTTTCAATAAAATATCATCAGAATTTTTTTGTTCCGTTATTTTTGATCCAAGGCTTTTTATATCAACATCAACAAACTAAAAAATATAAAATAAAGAACCCACATTAATAAATGATATAGTGTACAACGTACTCGTTGTATATTTACTAACAACAAATTGAGGTAGTGCAGTGATATGTTCTCTAAAACTAGAATAACTGATTTTGAAAACTTTTACTGATTACGCGATAGTAGGAATAAACAATTGAAGAATGATAACCGTCTTCGCTTGTAATATACATCAGACTAATTCATTAGTACTTAGAAATCACAAAGAATAAACCATAAAGAAAGTAGAATATTTTTTCATTGAAACGACCAATATGATCAACGAAATAAAAGTTAATCTAAAGTTATCTAAAGAGCAATAATGAATAACTTTGATGGAACTATTTGCAAGAAATTTTATTTAAGGGAAGTTGATCATAAACCAATAGTGAATTAATAGAATTTCTTAACTTAATATTGTTAATTTAATCAATCAGCCTAATATACAAAGTTTGTTTAAATTTCGATAACGTTTGAATAAGAAAGTTAATAATAACATTAAATTTATAAATTTGCATATCAAACCTGTGTAGCTTTTTGAACATAATCAAACTTCTGCATACACTCCGCCGCTAACTTATTAGGATCATTATATTCATTGACTAGCGCCGACTGTTCTTCTTCAATTATGCGTTGTTCTTCAGGAGATAGTTTGGAAAGTAAGACATTCTGACGCTCAGTAAGTTTTGGAGGTAACAAAGGAATACGCTGATTTCGCATCAGTTGGATTACAATACGCATTGATTCCCACTCACAAGAAGGTCGAGTTTTCTTCAAAATACAAGATATCCAATCGAGAACTAGTTCTCGATTAATTAACAACTTCAAACTGAAACGTATTACGACCAAAAATGTGGCGCATTGAAAAGGAACTATATTCGTAGATTGCAATCCGTGTTTTATAACATCCTGAAAAGAGTCCAATATCTTGATAAGTTTTTTCTCAGGCACACCAGAATCACACAACGCGGTTACAATTCCCAAAAAAAAATTAGTCATATCGTTAAGTCTTGTTGGCACCAAATCGCGGCAACACTAAAGATAAATAAACGGAAATATTTTAACACGTAATCGAAACTAGAACTGACTAAAATTCATTAAACAGGGAAAACATTAAGTGTAAAATAGTAGCAAAAGAAATATAATTTTTTTTAAACTCAGTACTCAATATTATTACTCTCATTAAAACTGAAATTAATTAACATTGAGAATATTAAGTGAATGCTTAGACCAGTAAGTTGTTTGACATGCAATTTATTGCAAAACATTAGTAATCTGAACTAAATAAATTTTCCCATTTAAGGTAACATTTGTCAAGTTTATCACTGTATTTAAGTGTACACCAAACCCTCTAGTTTACGTACTAGCAACAATAAACTCGCTACTTACAACTACATTTTAGTTGTAATTCCATTGAAGTTTAATGTACATAAGCGAAATTTTATATTAGTACATACGAACTGTTAATAATTAAAAATGAACTACACTGAAACCATTCGCACTGGATGTATTCAGTTCCAATCAATAGAACAGAAAGAAACTCAAATGTGTGCTAGAAATCAGTGCAGTATAAACGTTTTTAACATGAGAAATAGGACTTTATGAAAAGTTCGAAACAAACTATGACATCAGAAGTTTCCTGAGCAATAAATAAAAATAACCTTAAAAATTAATTTGCCACTTACTTCCGTATAATTAAGAATGGCTGTGCATATAAATGGAATTAGGGTATGTTCTCGGATACATAGTCGAGCGAATTCTTGCCGTGATATGCCTTTACCACTTTCCTGAAAAAATTAAACGTATGTTTGACATGACATCAACAAAAATAGATGTGTGGCAATTAATCAAATAACAAACGAGTAGAACATGCTCGGCCAAATAGTAGTGATTCAATTGAAATAAAGCTGTGGTCTAAGCTACATTTTAAAACAGTTCATGTTACGACTACCTTTAAGCAAATGATTAAATAGTTGGAGAAATGATTTACTATGTACTTATGACCGGAAAAACAAAAATAATTCCATTCTTGAGATATGTCATTAAAGATTGTGTGAGGTTCAAATGTATTGAATGGTTTCTCAAATGTGAAGTAAATAAGGTTAAAGATTTTGCTTATGAATGATCTAAAATAATTCTTACAAAATCTCACATGTTAGTTGACTACACGCCTCTACTACAGAACTGATGTGAAATTGTAATTAGGGCACATATGTGCCTTTTAGCGCTTGATGAGATCGAAACGTCTATGGTTACTCTACAGCGAGAGCAGTGAGTCTTGAAAGATCAGCTCCGGAAATCTCGAAGGACGATTGTTCAGTTTGGCAATTGAATTGATTGAGATATTACCTAGATGTAATCCAATTTGATTGTTCTCGGTCCTTCATCATTCCAGTTTACAAAAAAGGATTAGAACCCTCTTGTGATAACCACAGATTAGTCTGACTAATGGTATCTAGAATATTAGATCTCTGTTAAGTTTTGGAACACCGACGTACCTACCGATAATAATGGCATATATTAACCTTGAGATAACATTTGAATCCCGTGAACTGGGAGGTTCTGTGGCTGTTTGGTAGCAAAAGGGATACCAAAGTACATAAACCAGATGAAAGCTCCTTACCCAAAAACTTCTGATCAAATTAAATCCTATGGAGAACTGTTATTGGAACTATCAATCTCAAGCAACGTCCGTCATAGCCGCTCGCTAACTCAAACCCAATCAACTTGAAGATGTGGGGTGAAATGGCTCAGAATCGATCGTCATAAAACTCGTGCAGTCACTCTTTGTCACCCCCCCCATATCTTGGGTTTCGAAAATGCTGTATACTTTTTTTCAGAAAATTCACTTATTTGTTTCGAGTCATAATCTTTATTCCTAATGATCTTTTACTGTCAGTGACACTACTTTAGTATTTGTCGTGACAATTTCATCTCACTATAATGATGCAGTAGTAGTTTGGATAGATGAACATTCGTCTCACGCTTTATGTTACGGCTGATTGATAAGGTAGTTAATCACGAGACACATGATCGTAACTCTTAAGATATTTCAGCACTAAAATTATGGACTAATTTGTATCTGCAATACTTATTACACACCTCAATAGTGAAGTATGTAAACATTATTTCAAATATACAGAGTGTTATAAGATGTATAGTTAATGTTAGATCATATCACATACGGATCTACCATAAAAACGTCAGTTAGAATCTTCACCCTGACGAAAAATAACAAAGTAGATGGGTGAGAATGGAATGTTGCAATTAAAATAGCAATAACAAAAAGAGAAATAGAAACAATTATCAACTAAGAAACAAATATTTTATGGACATTTTAGCGAATCGCGGAACACTAAACTTCAATTTTTTCTGATAGACATAAAATAAAGTTTATTAAGACATCATAGTAATTTACGAAAATACAGTATGAAGGAAGGAAAACAAGAAAAATTAACTAACGTACAGCATATGGTTTTAACCACTGGAAACAAGAAGGTAACTGCTGAAAATTTAAAATTTGAATAAATTTAACGAATAGACCAGTTTCATGATATGGAATGATGCAGCGAATAAAATCTTCAACATAATGTATATGAATCTGAAATCTAAACCGTGAGTAGAGATGGTCGTAAACTTACTTGAATACTAGCCATTCTAAAGCTTGTACAGCAACAAAATGTTTAAGGAAAGAAGAAATGTAACATAGGAACTTGGAGATTTCGGTGTCGAGTTTTGCTTTTTCTGACGTAAGAGATTGCACATTTCCAGTTGACATGACGTCACAGAAAACAATGTACTGGCAAATGAGGTAAAAGCGTTTTCCATTTTACATAGTTTTTCAAACGACTTTAAACCTATTTAAAGAAATAACATGTAGAAAATAAACCTACAGCTTGAATAACAAGACTGAGTGTCGATTTTTGAAGCATCTTCATAAATCAAAGACTTGCGGTTAACACTGTCAACTACATAGCTAGATGTAATCGGGACTGCTAAGGCCCTTAGCTGGTCTGTTAATGACATCTAAAATGAATAGAAAAAAATTGCTTACAAAGCAGAAAATCAAAAACTAGAATGATGTACCAATTATAGCCCAACCAACATAATCTATTAGGTACTAAAACAGTACCTGCTTCGGTTTGGGCAACCGAGCAGTATCCTAGCCCTCACACAAATCGAACAATTTATGTGGCGCATTTCTTTTCGGTACCTTCTTGTACCTATGTTTGTGTTTAAAAAAATAAGTAAATAAATAAAAAGTAACAAAACATGATAACTGAGAGTTGAAGATGTGTATATATTGAGTTTTCGGGCACATATGACTTTGAAGTACTTCCCATATTGACCAAACAATATACTTTTCTTAAACTTCCCTAGTTCTTGTATCCCGAAATACCCCTATGCCATTTTCCTTCGCTTAGTCTTTTATATTACCACATATACTGCTACTTCTACGACTCTTAGATTTCTTAGTAACCTTGTCTCGCAATCTTAACGTTGCATGTCAACTTTCCCTGAATACCCTGTGTGGGAAGAGTCCCTTCTCCCCCTCATATGGCCACGCGTATACAGCCACTGTCAGGGAATTTCTACTCACTACCTCGTGGCGGTGGTGTTACTTACGAAATTAAGAGGTCGAAAAGTAAATGCCCAGTACTTTAACCGGGTTGGTGGGCACGGTGCATCCAAATAAGGTAGCTAGAAAACCTTGATTTCAAACCGATGGTGCACATAGGCTACAGGATCCTGAGGGGGCAAATAGCGCATGAACCTAATGTTGGAACCGTATATACTAACGTTGCTCCACTGCAATGTGAATTAGATCTCTAGATCAACGGTTCGAGGAGTGGCTCCCTAAGAAAACAACCCGGACAGTATCCCAGCCCACACACATTGAATGACAACGTCATTGTGTGGCGCATATATATTTTGATGTGCCTTTTTACCAATGTGTTCAAATCAATAAACAAATATAAAACCTGAATTGACGCACACGTCAGGCTTTACACTGACTGACTGATTCAATTACTCGGCTTCAGTAATCACGCTATTTGTCGTAAAATTCATATGTTAAAGTATCAACTTGATACACTTTATATTCAAGGTTCTACATTGCTGTTAAGTTTGGTTCATAAACAACTACCACGTACACGAAAAACAATGAATAATACAGTAGGAGAAGACCTTCGAACCATTCACTAATCATGAACCGTAATAAGTGATAGGAATCTCCTTAATTAAATTCATTTGAAAATGAAGGCATTACTGTTCAAAAAAGTAAAGTATTTGGTAGCCAAAACATTGTCGCATTTGGGATACTTTCCAAGTGTAAAGTGTGTATTAATATGACCGACTGGACGGGTCAAGTATTAATATACAACAATAATTCACCCCCTTCTGTCGACAAATCAAGTCCTGTGAGAACTAGTACGTGTACTACATGCATTCTCCTTAGGCTTAGTGCGAAGTGATCTACCAGCATCACTAAAAACTGTTAAGTATCAGTTACCGCGAAAAAGGAATGGAATCACTGAAATAATGCATATCACTGAAAAAGCGTACGTCGACTGAACAGTAAAATAAGTGCTACGTGAGACACTGCTGGAACGACTGTATAAACTGCGCTGGTGGCAAAAACAAATGGAACAGAAGAATTTGGGACCACAATCTTGTACACTCAATGGACATATTAGGTTCTAAAGACTATAACATACATATGAACTGAAGACCACTACATTTACTTACCTTTACTTGATCAAAATACTTATTACCTCTCAAAATGATACCATTTGAGCGACCAAACCTGTTGAGTGCGGCACATTAGTGCCTCAATTGCCGCAAGTATCAAATAAACTAAACACCTGTGAAGCTGAGCGTTCTGCATATATATCCACAAGTTATCGTGTATTTAAATGTGTGGATAAGATCTAACAGCTGACAGATGGGCCTCTAAAAATAAGACTAAAACCAGGGTGATAATTTGATGAGTAGCACTTTTTCAGGAATTTGTGCACTGTTCGCTAAATGCCAAAATATATTTATTTTATGAACCTTGAAGACATATCTTATATGCTTCATCAATTCTTACAACGGCAGAGAGCCGTGAATTCCAGTTTAAAAAATTCGAAAACCGATGGAAAATAATGAGTATAACGTGACTTAATTGCATGAATTTTACATTTGTCAAATCTAACCGGTTCAGTTCAAGTAAACTAGTAAGCACTTGAGGACTAAGTTGGATTCAGAGCCTACGAAATGTATGGTAAGAGGATCTGCGTAACAATCTGGAGTTTAGGTCGGTAAGTGTTCAAAAGCTACCATGAAGAGCAAGGTGATGGGTACCCATACATAGGGCTATTAGATTTGAAATCTCGAACAAAGCTAGATAAATATTAGAGCAGAATAGTGTAAATTAGTTATAGTTAATTTGGTTCTTGTCATCTGCCTACCTGTGATATTGAGAAATCATAAGTATGCAATTACTTCAGGTTACTTACAGGTCAGAGTCTAGTTGGAAGTTGCCATGATCACATCATTATAAGGTAGCAAGTATGTGAGTAAATTTAACAGATTAGGAAATATTTTTAGACAGATATCTTGTGTCACGTCTTGATTTTTGACAAAAAAAATGGTAGATATCTAGCTAACTCTTACCTTAAAAGTTTGCAAGGGTGGATAAAAGGGCTGTCTTAAAAGGAATGCCAGGTGACCACGCGTAGTAAACAAAACCCGCGGTACTGCGTTACAAGTCACATGGGTAGAAAGGTTTTCTCAATCATAAAGTTTTTCCCTCGAATATAATAAAAAGGATAGGAATTATGGCAGAAACTTTCGTTACAACAAACCATATCCCTTTGTGTTTTAACCAAGCATAAATGAATCAGCATCCGAGGTAAAATTACAGTAAGATAAGAGAAGCGGCCTCCGTCCATAGATAATGGTAAGCTCAGTTTCAAAAACTTTAAAGTAGTAAAAGGGTTTTTAAAACCACAAAGCTCAATGATGAATGATTCATATCCTTTCTTTGAAATTGCATGGCCCCCACATTTACCAACGGTTAATCTAATATAAGTAGATTAAGAAGTTACTACTTGGAAAATAAAAACACAATATACCCGTGGGCTCTTTTATTGTAAATCAAACTGTGTGGAAAAAGTTGTTTACTAAACAAATTCTAATGCCAGATTCTTAATCATAAGAGACCTACGCACACATCATAGACAGGATAATTCTAAGGACGACTCAGATAACTATGTAGAGGGAATCCTAATCGGTGAGACTGTGTTGTCTCCTTGAGTGCAACATTCAACGAACACAACAACGTACATTCTAGATTAAGCGGCATCAGTGCATGGCCCTACATTGACTCGTCATATGTAAGATTCTCACTGGATTTACCACCATTCAAAAAAAATTGATCAAGATATGCCATTAATCACACCCTAATGGCTTTCATGGGGAATATTTCCGCTCTAATAATATCAAAGATGCGGAAAGAAGGTACTCAGATGATTGTAAACGAAGTGTTATTAGCAGATTGATCTACCTAGGCAAAACCGCCCTTAGACTCGACTTGAAAGTACGTAAAAAGCTTGACACAGTAGGTACAAAAACCTTTATACTCTGGGTCGAGAAACAAGGAAGGGTGTAAGACAAAAGGTAAAGTAAATTTATTTCAGATCACCAAGATCTAGTGAGCTAGAATTTCACTACTGACAAGCCATATATACTAGGAGGAGACCTTGGAAAACTTAGAAGGTAGTCTGAAGTAAGTGATGTTAGTGACCATAGGAAGTGCACGAAGTTATCATTTTCATGTACACGTCGGAAGACTAATTTGGGCAATGCGTGACAGAATTGAATGGTGACATTCCTTTACTGCTACTGGTCGATGATGACTCTGACAATACCACAGTATTGACCAAGATAAATAACCAAAGGCACCGTTCCACCATCAACAATCAAGTGAATCTAGCTACAGCTTAAGTGCAGTGATTTTTCATAAATCCAATTTCCTAATATGAATGAATAATCCTTATCTGACAGATTTCCAACACTGCATCTCACAGTACAGCAAACTGAATCAGGGCACCGGACATACTATAGACACAACGTGTGATGTAAATTTATGTTCCTTTTCGGGACATTATTTGACATTCCTTAATTTCTATTTTCACATATTATGACATTGTTTTGATGTTGTCAGATATTTTTTCCAAGTTTTTTGGTATATTTTATATTTACCACGGCGGAACAGACTCATAAGAATTAAGACCTCCTCGCCTTCCTCAGTTCAGAGAACGCTATTCTCAACCGAAAATATAAAATGCTGCTTCTACAATGCAGAAGCCGATTTTCTCGAGCACGCCATTACAGACCCACGTGCACTACTTCTCTAAGTAGTGAAAAACACTACCGCGCGGTTTCAACAGATAAGTTTCACCTAGCATATTTACTAGTAATGTTTTAGAAACTTAATGAGCTCTAGGTAGAGCTGTTTTTAGACGTGGAGACGCAACCAACCGACACATTTTCAACTGGCTTCTTCACAACATCGAGTTGCAATACTGCTCTTCGGCAGAAATGTTATTGCGTATGTAAAGGGTCATTGGTCAATGGACCTTTGACTAGTAGCTGTTCAGACAGCTCTTCGTGTCTAGGTTTCCCCAACAGGTGCAGGCTGTTCTCGTCTCACTTCAAAATAACGCTGTAGAAGTAATGCATCAAACAACACAAAACTGTGTAACACATTTCTGCTAAACTTCTACTTGTTATCCTAAAAATATTCGTCCTTTTCGTAGACGCTCTCAAACCCCTCAGTAGATATCTTTATGAAAATGATCTGTCCTTAGATAACGAGAGATAGATAATCTTAATTGGTGTTGGTACTATGATAAATGTAGTAAGTCCTCTAGAAATTGAACAGAAGCTTGCAGATTCCTAAACTCCAGACCAGTTGACACGAAAATTCCTCTTCTGCACGCACCAACGTTAACCGTAGCCAGCGAACATATCCGTCTACTATGAATCTTTGAAGTGATTACGAAAGTTCGCTATCTTGTCAACATTGCCTCAGAAGTAAGCGTTCTTCAGCAAGTCCTAACTATAGATTGCAAGAACCAGTTTTCAACTTACGGGCGACAAACCGAAAATCGACTGCCACGGCGATTTGTCATTTATAACGTTTACACAGGCACACTCACAGGATCTTCGGTGTTGCGGATGTTTCTATGCTAACCATTCGTGCAGACCTACTACAACATCATTACCTGTTCATAGACGCATGCTAATGGAGGTCAGTAGACAGAAATACCAATTTATCTGGTTGCGTAACTTTCTTTACTGGTTGTAGATTGTCCCCAGTTACTGTTAAGCACCTAATTCATTCATAATGTCAACGAAACAATGTTACACATCACATCACGACCACATGACTACCTGTATTTCCGAAAACACACCGACTAGCTCCTAAGAAACTAAGGTTGGCCGAAAATGAATCCCACCACATAAAGTCCCTAAAAAGACAGCAATGATCGGCGTCAAACTGGTGACTGTTGACAACGGAATGCAAAACCATAGCTGATCGTTTCTTTTGCCTCACACTCACGATTTGGAAGCCACTTTAAAAGGCACAATACTGTTTTCAAAACCGATCTGGTCAAAATGTACAACCTAATTCCCTAGGCTGTTTAAGAAATGTCTAAAACAGCAATCATTACCCCTTCGGGTCTCACGAATGTTTGCCCAATTCTTTCGGTTTAATAAGTACTGCACAAACTTTCCAGAGATTTGTCAACAACGCCTTTCGAGGTATCATCTTTTACTAATATGTAGATGACTGTTTGATTTCAACTCCGGACAGAGACCCTCACTTTCAGCGTCTGCAACTTGTTTGCCAATGACTTCAAAAACTTGAAGTTACTATAAACAATCAGCAATGTCAGACGTATTATTGACACTTTAGGCACCCAACCTTCACACGGCAATGTGGTGGGCATACTGAATTACCCAGAAATGACCACAAACAAGTGGTTGTGTATATTAACGGCCTCGTAAGTATTTGTCGATGGTTCACACCGAATCGCGTGTCTCTCATCAGATCCTTGACAGACCAACATCGTGGGAATGCCGAAATCATCAGTTTAGACAACAATGCGAATAGTCATTCTTCTCACTTAAGGAAGTTATCGCGAAATCAACTATGCTCGCACACCAGGACATAAAGGTACTGACCATGATCACAATATACGCACCCAACTCGGCTGTCGGAGGAGGCTTACAACAGAGCGTAAACAACAGCTAACAATTTTTGGGATTCTTCTCGAAACGGTCGCGAGACACTGAATCGAGGTATAGAACTTTCGGTAGGGAACACTTGTCATTTGTTGTACTGTACGGCACTCTCAACACTGCAGAAGTTCAAAAATTCATTCTATTTGCCGACCACAGACCTTTCATCTTCTCTCTTAGCTTATCTTTATACAGGTACTCCACTCGAGAGTTTTGACAACTAGTTTACATTTCTCCGTTTACTTCAGCTCACTATGTGACATATATACAGGTGGAGATCGTCCAAAAGTGTCGAATCATTATCGACACGACATCTTCAATATGATCCACAACTTTTCCCATTCCGTGCTCGAGCAGCCATCAAAACCATAGTAGAACGATTTTTCTGGCTTTGTATGAATAAAGACGTGAGGATGTGGGCATGCTTCTGTGTAAGCCTCCAGCACTCTATAGTGATTAGACACAACAAATGTCCCTTAAGCTCTTTCGATACTCCCGACGCTCGTTCCAACCATGTTCACATGGATTTGGTAGGACTGCAGTGGCATTGGGCCCCAACCACATAATCTTCAAAGCTGAACACCAAACAAGTAGATATTCATTATTTAACGTGGAGAAAACCCAAAAATCAAGAAAGCGGGAAGGATTAATTCAATTCAATAGGACGGCATGACTCAGCCTTGCGGTGTGATCATTCTTGTGTAACTTGTCTCGTCTATTGATTTTTAGTATATTGTTCCATCTCCAGCCTAAATGTGTTCTCCACCATATATTAGTGATTCTTACGATAGGACGAAACAGTGTAGACAATGATGTAACTTTCACATATGATCTTACAGAGTAGGTAGTCACATTATGACAAACCTACAAGTTTAGGATTAGGTCTATTATTAGAGCAATACAGATAACGAAGTATACCACAGTTCCATGGGAACTTTCTTAGGATCAAATCGATGCTCTTACCTTCTAACGTATATGTACTGTTTCACACGATGGCCAGAAGCAGTACTTACCAAGGACGTTACTTCTGAAAAAGCGGCCCTCACCTTCATCGAAGGATGAGTAGCAATCCTCAACTTTCCCTCAACTACCACTAGACTGTGGACGCCAGTTTTAATCTGAACTTTTTTGTTGTCTTACTACACTATAGAACGACCGTCTGTGATCCACAAGCAAACATGTTAGTAGAACGATGTCACTGACAGCTTAAGGCTTCACTCTCAGCTGCATATTTTTCCACTCGTGTCTCTTGGTATTTCATGTTTTTTGGTGAATACGGATCTAAACTCCTATAAAAACAGGCTTACAAACGCCATGTGTTCGGTTAAACCTATTTCCACATGACCGCAGTCAACTGACGCTTTTGTTCAACTTGCCTTATGATATAGTACACACGTTTCTGTACGCTGCTACTCATTACGACCACCTCTTGACGTAGTATGCTGAGTACATTTCAAATTTCTTCAGAGTAAACCTAAACACTATATCGTTTAATAAAAACTAATGAGGGCATCAGCACTAATTGTCTTAAAGCAGCGTATTCAGGAGACCCTCATAATGTTGATTTTACCCCGGTACACTTGGATGAGACAAGCCCCATAATCACGGCACATACAACTCGGCAAATCGCAATCACAAAGAAACTTCGGCCTAGAACAACGCGTTCCGGAAGGGTAAGTTTTCCGGCACACTTGAACGATTACTGCACGTATGACACTACATAACGTTTTGTTTCATCTCGATTTCTTGTATTATGGTGTGAAAAAAATGAACCCAAACCATTTTGACATGCATATATGTAAATAAATTTCTTAATGAAAAACAAAAAGATTATTGTTGTTAATACGTTTATGTGCATATATTTTTCCCCTAAAAAAAATCCATGTTGTCGCATGTTTACGAAACGCGTGAATGTGTTTTTTCATTTTTTCGCCCATTTGTGTCCTTACGGGTGTACGGGTGTATTTTGACATGCACTTACATATCCTTTTTTCAGGACTGCTGGTGATGATTAAAAACACGATGAAGATTATAAAGGATCAAATTTTTTATTGTACTTGTATTTTCATTAATATATTGCACTATATGACTCTTTTTAGTAAGGAAAGACGATAAGGCATAGACGAACACAATAAGCTATCGGAGTAGTGTTTGCCAACGACAAATTCGTAAGTTTTAAACGCAGAGTGTGCATTAATCAACCGGTTGCGCTACATCATGGCGAGAACTTATGACCAAGAGCTGGCATTTCTGGAGAAGATCACCCCAACTTGTTGGAAAATCAAGAAAGGTTTTGTCCCAAACATGAATGCAAGTCTTTTGCTTCACACGGCTGAGTTTTCTTGTGCATAGGTTGAAGGTGTCTTCTACGTGAATAACTTTCTTGAAAAACTATGTTTGACGAATTACGAAATTTTACACGCAGTGGAGATTATGGTGGGTTTCTACCAGGAATGAAGCAAATAGGAAACGTCGCAGCGCTACCTGGAATTGTTCATGTAAGTCATGTGGCTTCGCATTATTTAGTATACGCTCTCAATAATATTGAACTTAGTAATAATATATAAAAGCCTCTCATGTTTGTTTTCTGTTTTTCTTCATTGTGAGTTTCCACTCAGCTCATTAACCACTTCATACAAAATCTCGAGCACACTTAAGACGCATTTATTTTTACCTGAATGTTTAAACATTCGGCGGATATTTAGGCAAAATGCGGCAATTCGGCGATATTTAGGCGAAAATGCGGCAATTCAGCGGATATTTAGGCGAAAATGCGGCAATTCGGCGATATTTAGGCGAAAATGCGGCAATTCGGCGGATATTTAGGCGATAACTCGGTAATTTGTCGACAAAAGGCGAAAAAGGGGAAAATCCGCATTATTTCCCCCGGACAGGCGAAAAAGGCGAATTCTGATGCGTTTTCCCCTGTATTTCCCCTTTCGCTACCGAAGCATTAACCCCTTTATTTCCCCTTTCTTCGCCTTTATTTCCGCTTTTTGGGTTGTCTGGGTTATATTTACCAACGGTGTTAGAGCATATTTAATCACTTAGCGAGGTTTTTTTCCGAATTTAAAATGGCTCATAGGTATCGATCATAGTTTTTGGGTCAGAACTTATCCTAGCATCGGATGCACAATGAACCTCCAATTTCGGTGGTCAGTTTATTTGGCAAATTACCACTCATATTTCTTTGCTTAGTTCAACATGTGTTTATCTTTACCAATATTCAGTTATTTCTAGTATTTGTAGTAAATGCGAAGTACAAGATACCACTCTGGACTCGTAACCTTATATAATTTTATAGCGAGCTTTTAATTAGGTTTTATTGCACAACAAGGATAAGTGTTTACCCATTTGTTCGTCACAGCATCCAAGTTGTGAGTGAACACCCCTAGTTAAAGCAAATTTGTTCTTACGCGTGCGTTTGGGAACACAATATGGCTTGAGGATATAGTAATTATGTCCACCTGGTTCTCTTGTTTCTGCTCCCTTACTCCAGTAAGGGATAAGTCAACTGCTTTGTTTTTCGAATACTATTAATCAAGTTACATTTTCTGCCGTATATGGGTTATTAGTAGGCAGAGTATCCGCCTAAGACGTATCTGGAAAGACTTTCCAATTCTATCCGCCAACCATTACTTCATTGTCAGTGGCGATTCCTAGCGGTTAGTCTTTCAGAATTATGGAAGTATATCGTCATATCACTTCAACCCCAGCCTCCCTTACCCTTTCGAATCCGTTGATAATATAATAACTTGCTCTGATGATTCCTGTAATTCAGGACATTTTTAGGCAACTGGTAGGTAGTTGTAGTTCGGTTGGATTGTTATTCATCTTTCTGTCTAGCGATCTAGTTAATCATCCTAATAGATTGTTAATGATGAATCTTCTCAAATAGTTTTAATGCTCATATTTCTCTGAAAATCTCTAACAAGTATCACTTTATTTCATTTTAATGACAGTAGCTGTAGTGTCAACCAACTGTAGCAACGTTCACTAAACCAATCACGAATCATTTTTGGGGTATTCATCTTCATTAATCTCTTTTTTGTGTGCTAAAAAGCATCGTATTACTTAAGAAATTTAGGAATAAATAATTTAACTAAATATAACCGAAAAGTAACTTCCAATTAGTCAATCTTAAAGGTAAGGTTACTAATATGCTTCGGTGATTTACAACACAACAACGAAAAGAAGTATGAAAAATTAGACTTTTACCTGTTCTATTGATTTCTCTTAGCGTTCAGTCGGCTTACCTGATGTACATTCTGGATATGGTTTTGCCATCGGTAAGTTACAAACTATTAGATTATATGTACTAGTTTTGATATTAACTTTCATAAAGAACGGGATATTTTACTAAAAAACTTGATGTTCGACCCCTTTCGGTGGGTAACTATGGTATATCTCTTTAATAATAAATTCAAGGACTTACATTTCTACATGTATCTTGAAGGTCCTACACATCTCACTTAATAATCTATTTCAAACAAAAGTGCCTATTTCTGCTGTTTTATTTTTGATCCCACTGTTTCTCTTTTTTAATTGCTATTCGATTTCATCGATCATCCGGCGTCTTTATACGAGTAATCATCTTGTGCAACTACCAAGTTTGTAAAGCTCGCGAGTGCCTAATAAATTTTCGTAATCCTACTTGACTGATGAGTCGAGAAATTAAATACTTAGTTGTTGCTAATTGTATAAGGATCTTTCTGAATACTCTTCACTCTTTGATATTTTGTATACTAACATAATATGTTAGCCAAATATTTCAGCACGGTGAATTGTGATTTTTTATCATTAAAACCATGATTCGACTTAGCGTAATAGAAATAATCAAGCAACGAATGGTTTCTAATCTTTTGAGATTCATCACTACCTTGCATACAAATGACGCAGTTGCTATAGTCACATGATAGCCCATACAAATTTATTTTTCAGTTACTGGAAATCTGTTTCACTAGTTGGTGGGATTAGGATTCAATTAATGTTACCTTTTATATAAAACCTGTTCAAAATTTGTTAGCAGTTGTTAATTTTCTTCTGGGCAAACAAAAACCTATAAAATAGTCTATTCGTTTAATTGTAACTGCTTAACGGCTAACAAATTTATGTTCTATACTCTAACATGTCAGTAAATATACTTAGACAAACCCCACATTTCCACCATAAATGCAGTAAACTTTACCATAAATTTTCATGGATTATACAAAAAAACCCAATGCCTAGTCAATGATCACAGCTTTGTCAAAACATTACACAAACTACCTGTCGTTTCGGGATATACAGTTAAGTGTAAGTAATCACAATATTCGACTGCTAGCATCCAAACTACAATAGGAGTATACGTTAATTTCGAACTGTATTCTTCTAATTAGGTACAAACTATTGTTCCACAGGATCGACAAAGTCATTTATTTGATCTGGTCTAGCAAAATGTTTACAGATTTACTAGTGATACGTCCTTTTTTAGAGTTACCCTAAGTACAACCTATCCTTTTGCAATTATGATAACGTTGGGGAATGTATTATTGATTAGAATTATTAGTCTCACTTCGATAATAATCATGGATGCATAAACGCAGTGAGAACGTAAACAGTGGTAGTAACAAAATGTCATGACATGGCTTAGTGCGATAAGTCTGTTCCCCCTCTCATATGGCCACGCGTGTACAGCCACTGTCAAGGAAGTCCTACTCACTACCTCGTGGCGGTGGTGTTACTTACGAACCGGGTTGGTGGGCACGATGCATCCAAATAAGGTAGCTAGAAAACCTTGATTTCAAACCGATGATGCACATAGGCTACAGGCTCCTGAGGGGGTAAATAGCGCATGAACCTAATGTTGGAACCGTATATACTAACGTTGCTCCACTGCAATGTGAATTAGATCTCTAGGTCAACGGTTCGAGGAGTGGCTCCCTAAGAAAACAACCCGTTTCATTTTGGACACTCGGACAGTATCTCGGCCTGCACACAAACTAAATAATGACTAAAATTAGAAGATTTATTCACGCTTCAAATACCTGTTAATACTCGTTTTTATTTTTACATTAGGTCACTTATCTATTCCTTTATTCCCATTCTGTGTATTCCTTTATTTTCCAAGTTCTACAACAACTCATCTTTGGTGGGAACCCTCTCCAATCTAAACGATCTTAAGTCACTGACTGGTCGAGATTTGAACGCTACCACCAAATACGAATTCTGAGCTAGTCTTTCTAAAACCACTTATTCCATTCAAACTGATCTACTTCGACGCTCGTATGCTAGTTCAGATCACTTAACAGATAGGTCCCCAAATGCCCTGGTATGGCCGAGAGTGGGGTGGCCCCCCCTCCCCCTCGAAATACTCTCACACGGCTACGCGTATACAGCCTCTGCCAGGGAAGTCCTACTCACTGTCTTCTCGTGGCGAGGGTGTTGTTTACGAAAATGAGAGGACGAAAAGCGAATGTCCGGCGCTTTAACCGGATCCCAAACCAATGGTGCACGTGGGCTCCAGTATTCTGAAGGAACAAATGGCATGTGAACCAATTTTCGGTCACCGGCTACCATGCGACTGCTTCTCCTTACGATGCTTCACTGCCTTGTGGATCAGACCTTCACGTCGAAGGCTCGAGGTGTGGCTCCCTAAGAAAACCACCTGCTTTGGTCTGGGCACCCAGGCAGTATCACAGCCCCCACACACACAAATATGGTGTGGTGCATATATATATTTGGTACCCTCATGTACCAATATTTATGTGTTCAAGTAAATAAATTAACTTAACAGATAGGGTTGGCTATGTCTTTAAAAAGTCTCAACATCAATGTCTATTGTCTATCCAAAACCCGTATTTAATACTCTGGAGAAGTACCACAAATTCGCTCTTCATCTGTCGCTTCAAAAACCTTTTGACGTATGCGTTTATCCGAGGACCCAGTTGCATCTTCGTCTGGTTTTGCTGTTGTTGATGTCGTATTAAGCGCTAGAGTTGAGACAGCATTAATCATTTGGATTCGCATTAACAGTCTACTATGTGCTGTCAGATTAGAAAGCTCTATCAAAGTGTGGAGAAATCAGTGTGGGAAACAATTTTTTTATCATCTCTCCCTGCACTCGGATGCGATCAAGGATGAGTTTTATTACCAGTTAACAGTTCTCCTACAGAAAGCGCGTTCGACAGATATTGTAGTACCAGCGTCTAGGCACAGAAAGAGTCGTTTAGGTGACTGGTGGGTACTTGTTGGTTACAAATCAGATATCTGTGACTGTCTACTGCAACTTTGCGCAGACTATAACCTTTTTCTGGCCAGTACTATCAGCACAGTCATCGCCGATGTGCTACATGGCGTCCTTCTTTTACATCTCAAGCCTAGACTCAGGTTGATCTCATGGCAATCAGCTGCCACTGGCGTGGTTGTGTACAAGACTGTCGCTCCTTTTGGAGTACCTATCTGGACTCTGATCATGCCCTTGTTTGTGCTAATATTACCTCGCGCTTCAGTGACCAACAGATTCATCTTCCTAAACAGATCGATGTCAACAAACTGGTTGCAGCTTCTGTCGCAACTAAATATCAAACCAAGCTGGGTTCAAGGCTAGCTACCATCCCTCCGAAAAGTATAGTTGATCATTGGTTGCAGTCGCATAACTGCATAAAATGATGAGTAAAGTCACTTGCAGCTTCTCGAAACGTCCCACTTATAATCAATGGGTTTCTGCAGGCCTCTTGCAACTCATTGAAGCACGTCAGTCTACTCCGGGTGACCGCGGATTTGAATATAAACGAAAATTGTTACTTAGTGAAATTGTGCAACCCTTGCGTAAAGATCGAGAAGCTTGGTGGTCGGAGCGTGCTAACGAGTTGGTAGCAGCAGCTGCATTTGGTAACTGCCGAAAGCTTTTTCAGCTCATCCAAGTCACTGGGAGCAAGAAGTCTGGTGTGAATGAGACAGTCTGTGAAGATGACGGAATACCGATCACTAAATCTACCGACACCTTGAACAATGGGCAGAGTTTTTTGAGGGGCAGTTTAACTGGTTTGCTGCTTCGGACACCTCGATCAGTCTGTCCTTCCCTCCATAGCCTATGACGACTGATCCACCTAAGGAGGAGGTCTGCAAGGAACTCCAACTCTCGAAGTGCCACAAATCAGTGGGTCCAGGTGACTTACCTCCGGCCCTTTTCAAATATGGTGGGAACTTTCTGGTTATGGAACTGACTGAGTTATCTACAAAGGTCTGGTAATTAGAGAGTGTTCAAACATCGTGGAATGAGTCGATAGTTGTTCCTATCTTTAAAAAGGGTTCACATCATCGATCCAACAACTATCGGAGGATACGTCTACTTCCAATCGCGTCGAAACTGTTGGCTTCCTTCATACTTCGTAGGTTGTTCAAAACCCGAGAAAGATTGACTCGCAAGGAGCAGGCTGGTTTTCGTTCTGGTCGAGGATGTATTGATCATATCTTCGACCTCCACCAAATGTTAGGACACCGTCATACTCATCACAGGCCAACAATCGTAGTGTCCTTTGACGTCAGGACTGCCTTCGATTCGTTGAACAGGACTGTTCTCTGGGATTGTCTATTGAAGAAGGGTGTGCCTGAGAAGTTTATTAACATCCTAAAAGCCCTATATACAGACACATCACGTAAAGTGAGGGCATACAACCACCTCTCTCCATTGTTCCATTCACGAAGTGGGGTTAGACAGGGTTGCCCAATCTCACCATTCCTCTTCAACTTTGCCATCGATGACATTCTGGAAACAGCTCTGATGGATTTAAGTAATGGTGGTGTGGATCTGTTGCCTAGAGAAAGACTTCTCGACCTTGAGTATGCGGATGATGTTGTCTTATTGTGCGATAGTGCTCAAGTCATGCAATCCGCACTTAATCAGTTGGAAACCAGTGTCCGTAGGTATGCTATATGCTTTTCACCTTAGAAGTGCAAAGTACTTCTACAATACTGGCAGGATTCTAATCCTGTACTCAGCCCGGATGGTGAGCAGATAGACGTAGTCGAGAAGTTCGTGTATCTAGGTAGCTGCATAAGTGCTGGTGGGGGTGTGAGTGATGAGATCAATGCACGTATAATGAAGGCCAGAGCGGCTTATGTCAATCTGGGCCACCTTTGGCGCCTTCGTGATGTTAGTCTGGCTGTAAAAGGTCGGATCTATAAGGCGTCGGTGAGAACAGTTTTGCTCTACGCTTGTGAAACCTGGCCTCTCCGAGTTGAAAATGTTAGAAAACTGGGTGTTCAGTCAATGCTGTCTCCGAAGGATTTCTGACTTTCGGTCGCAACACCATATTGCAGAGGTTCAGCATCATGTGTTCGGGTACAGCTACGATAATTCAATTGACTTCACGATCTTGAAACGCCGATTCAGTGGTTGGCACATGTCTTACGAATGTCGTCTCAGCAGATTCCACATCGTGGATTATTTGCCGATTCTAAAACCGGTTGGGATAAACGTAAAGGTGATCAGTGCACGACATTATTACTATTACTATTATCATTACTGTCATTGTTATTATTTCACCGTCATACACTAATCTTTATTGATTGTTCTTTTTTCTTATAATCACTTTCCCTTTTCTATCTCTTCACAACCTAATTTTTGTGTGACGCATTTATATTTTCGTGCTCTTTTATACCAATGTTTGTGTTCAAATAAATAAAGTAATAGAATTTCATTCAACCAGCTAGAAATACAGACAACTAAGCAGATAGCGACGCGAATTACACAGTCAATATGACCCATAGAATTAGTAGAATCGATCACATTTATATAAAATGTTACTTATATTTAATAGTTCAGTATTGTCAGTATTGTCAAACCGACCCCAATGTTCAATGAGATATTGGTATTTGGGAACTCAATTGACTATTCAACGAGTCACTAATATCAGTTTTCGCAACTCATTTTGTGTATTAGCTTTGACTATAAATGATCCTTGAATGGTAAAATACCATTTTGTCTTTTTGTACTATAATCCGTTTCAATTAAACATTAATGTTGCATTTAGATATATTTATGTGGAATCGATTTAAAGTCTCCCAATTTTTAAAGGTAATATGGCTGCATTTGACCTGACCAATCCAAAATCAGTAGTCTCACCTGGTGGTGTTGGATTCGATATCAATTGCGGAGTCCGACTTATACGCACAAATCTGAATTTAAAAGATGTTCTTCCAGTGAAAGAAAAGCTAACTCAGACTTTGTTTGATCATATTCCTGTTGGTGTTGGTTCCAAAGGTATCATACCGATGGATGCTCAAGCTCTGGAGGAAGCTTTAGAAATGGGTATGGACTGGTCTCTGAGACAAGGTAAATTACATTTTATTCTAACTTAAAAGTCTTTGGTAGTTTCTAGTTTTGAATCAATAACTATTTAATACAGATAAGTCGACAAGTGATATTTTAGGAGTTGCTTTGGTGAGGGTCTGTAGTTTTTATAAATGAGAGACGATTTTGAATGTTCAACTGCTCTTTAATTTAAAAAGATCAAACTATTTTATATCTGTTAACTGATCATCATTTTCCTTAATTCCTTTCACACGAGATATATTAGTATATGTTTATATCTGTGACTTATGCTAGGAGTATGACATAAAGTGGTCATGCCAGTTCACCTGTAAATTATGGTATCTAATTAAACCATACATACAAATATATGGGATAACATCTCGTCAGAATGGTTTATTTAATCAAAGTGGCCTATAGGAATTAAAGTTGTGAATTGGTAGAAGGCTGTTTTGTTAAAAATAAGGTATGCCTTCTAAATACATCTAGTATTTCAGTTCCAACGATTGCACATTGTTATTTTGATTTCCTTCTCTGTTGGTATGAATAACTGTTGACCATAAATATTGAATAACAGACGGGGTCACCCCCCAGTAAACGTCATTTCTATTTCTATTGCTATTCTTATCTTGTTTTTGGTATCCGTCTTCACACTAAGTACTTACAAAAATCTCTAATACTTATAAGACTTAATACAGGAACGGTAGTTTGCCACACCTACTTTAGTTTGTGAGGCCTTACAACCTTACCATCCAATTTGCCATCTTTCATCTCGTGCTGAATTGTAATAATTTCTGTTTGATTTTTCAGTACTATGGTCTTTGTATCTAAAATTCTGTTACGTTTGCATTATAAACATTAGTGTTCTTTATTTAATAATTATGAATATCTTGTTTGTGATTAGAAATCACTCTAGCAAATCTCTTTTTATGAACTACTTTTTTGTCTTAATCATTATTTTATTATGTGACAGGTTAGCCGTCCGTGATTTCACAATTTTTGTTCATTTTATAAGTGAACAAAGTGTAGAAAATAATTTTCCAAATAATGATTTCACAACTTCAAGTTAAGACATTTCTTAATTCACTTTATTTACCTGTAAAGTAAACAGTGTTGAATGTGTTACGAGACCACGACCCGATAACTTCTCATGTTACCATTCATTCTTCAAAAATTTTATACATTAGGGTATGTCTGGGCGGAAGATAAGGAGCATTGTGAAGAGTATGGTCGTATGCTTCAGGCTGATCCGTCTAAAGTTTCTTCACGAGCAAAAAAACGTGGACTTCCGCAACTTGGGACTCTTGGAGCTGGTAATCATTACGCTGAGATACAAGTTGTGGAAGAAATTTTCGACAAACATGCAGCAACTAAAATGGGCATCAATCATTTAAATCAGATAGTACTAATGATTCATTGTGGGAGTCGAGGAATGGGTCATCAAGTAGGTTCATACATCCTATAAATATGTTGTTATATTTTTGAATAGTGAATTAATAGTAATCAGTGAAAATGTATCCTCGATCACACTGTGTTGTTAATGTTTTCTGATAAATTTGCTACCTGACAACTAAAATGACACTTCTGGTTCCTATTTCCTTACCCCCACTTTTGTAAATCTATAAGTAGAAAGTTTGCTAGCCATTCAAAACGAAACTTTATTACAAGACGTGTTGTTTTACGTAGACAATATTCCTTGTATTTCTATGGTGACCAATAATAATCTTTACGAAGGTTGTTTATTGAAATCATGAATCGATCAATTTCAGACCACCACTGAAAACCTGGGAGCACTGGAAGGCTGTTTCGTCCTAGTATGGGACTCCTCAGCAGTGCGCATCCACGGTCCGCACTCGGGACCTGAACCCAGGGCCGTCGGTCTCACGCGTGAACGCTTAACCTCTAGACCACTGAGCTGGCATCCAACGGTGTTAGTGTTTAAATTCAATCGATCCACGAAATTGCGCGACCACCCTCCATTGTCTGAGGTAGATAAAGGTTTTTGCACTAACAGAAAAAAACTAAGGGAATTATGTGGAGACGGCATAATGATTGTTTTCTGGATATATGTTGCAAAAATATTTGAGAGTAAATTGACGACCCAATGTCTTCCATAGTTTACGTCAAAAGCTTGTTTATTGCGATCGGATAAACGATTTACACAAATTAATTAGACTATTTTTAGTTGTGGATGATAGAGTTCCATACTTCCTTTCAGATATTGAAGTAGTACTTAAATACTCATGTGCTAGACGTAAAATTAAAAATATTTCATGTTCCATATATTAAGACGGTAACTTTGAAAGTAAGCCGTTTTTCTTCAGAGCAACTAAAAGTCTAGGTTAAGTTTATACGAATAAAAAAGTCATCAAGTTGTTGTTATTTATTTAAAATTTCAGTTAAATTACATATATGCCTTTCACTTATTTCAGCTTTTAGTAAAGACTAGCTGAATATTTAATTGAGCTAAAATAATCATATTCTTAATAATCTAGTTTTAAAGTCAGCGTCTGGAAGTTTCCGGGTTTTCACTTGGAATGACTTGTAAACAGTTGCCTTCATCTTCAACCACCCACTGCAATCAAAAAATGTGGCCGTATAATATATGTAGACAGTTTGAAATTTCATTGTCAATGTTATTTAAACAGCTACTGAAAAATAGAATATCTAACAACATCTACCTCCAGTTTCTGAGACGCTTTTTTCAATAGGTACCTTTAACTATTTAACTTATGATTCATAGTCTCATGAAAAGGCAATCCAGTCGTTGGTGTGCATCCTGTGTTGTCCATTTTCACTCCGAATAGAAAAATCCAGTATTCAGTTTGTGAGATATATAGGTTTGTGAAAAATGGTATTAATTATGTGATTTTTACCATAATTTGTACATCATGATTTAGTGATATGTTTTATGTCCTTACTTTTACTGAGATTGTTACCTAGATTACCTTGTGTATTCTTTTAACTTAGGTTGCAACAGATGCTTTGGTCTCCATGGAAAAAGCAATGAAACGTGATAAAATCGAAGTAAATGACCGGCAGTTGGCCTGTGCACACATTAATTCTGAAGAAGGTCAAGATTATTTGAAAGCAATGGCAGCGGCTGCCAACTATGCCTGGGTTAATCGATCTTCTATGACATTTCTTGCAAGACAGGTAATTTTAGAATATTTACGTTTTTCTGAGCATTAAGACTATGATTACCTTATGCTAATTATTGTTGTCGAGTATTTGTATAGTTCTTGTGGGTTTTCACAGCGTTAACATTTTGGATACGTGTTAACAATACAAGATAGAAACAAAGGAATAACAACTCATTAGTATCAGGCAAATAACAAACAGTAAATTATTTTCTAAGTTTATAAACCATAGAGAGTTTGTTAACTGTTTTAGGAATGGTTCTGTGGTGAGCATAATGTATTTCCTTGTTGGGTTTGGCGAAAATTTACGAAAACTGACACTATCTCATTGCTTAATATTACTCTTACTTCAAGTACTATTTAGTATATATATATAATACTGTGTATGTAAACTTCCTAAATGTTAGTAAATAGATGGTCGTCTTACATCATTTCAAAACATCAACTTATGTAGGTTGGATGTGTTTTATTCATGTCAACTCAGTGATTATATAGCAACAATTGCTTGATCCTTTTACAACTGGCTAAAAGTACTAGGAGGGAGCTCAGTTTATGATCGTGCACCGTGGGATGAAAGGCAGCTGTTTTCCCACTTTAATTTTCTCAAAAGTCTCACAGAGATTAAGTTACCACTGGATGGTTCCAGACACTACAAGATTTAAATTCAGTCTAAAGCCAATCGTAATTGTTGTACGTTTTTTTATTAAAAAACGAAAATGTAATAAATATTTATTGGACATATTTGATTTTACTGCTTTCTTTCTAAATACTCTTCTGCTCTTCTCTTTATGATTATGTCATGATAAGTTTGCGTTAATATATAGATTTAAATAACTGCCCGTGTCCTTGTATATAAGGATTTCATATTGTAAAAGAAATGTGTGTGGACCTCACATTATGAAAACGCAGTTAATCGAGTTAACCTAATGATTTATTGCCAAAACTAAATTCTTTTTGGGGATTACTGTAGTAGAACAAAAAGCTGTCGTTTCTCACTTAAGCAAGTCCTTTTGTGGCGCATGCTACTTATATTGATATAAGTAGTATATAACGCGAGTTAAAGAATGTAATGTCTGGCAGCAGAAGATGGAGGAAGATCAAGAAAGGAAGAGCGAGAACACAGTGGAATTTGTAAGAAACCGTATGAACAATTAAATGTGAGACAATGGATTGATGTTTGCAACGGCAACAGTCCGGTTCGATATGATGGAATGGTATTTTGCAAATTAACGATTTACTATATGGTTTTTCTATTTTACCAAGTAACTGTAATTTTGTGCTAAATACAATTCAGTTGTCCTCACATGTGTTTTCCTTCACTACACTTCCATCATTAGTGAATTTTTATCAAAGTTCCAAAATGATCATTTGATTAGTTATCCTTTATCAGCACCGAATGATGCTTGTATGATCTCGTTGGTGTTAATATATAAGCAACAAAATCTGATTATTAACCCTAAAATTTCGTACATAGTTCATTCAAAAATCCATTCGATTTAAGGAGGTCTCTTTACAAATCGCAATCCATCTGTGCATACAAGTGGAACCAGTTGAACAACCTTTAAAACCCAACATACATATTCTAATACATAGTGTATAAAGCACAAAGTATCTAGTATTTTGCTAGGCTTTCAAGCAGACTTTTGTGCGTTGGTTGATTGTTCTGTCCGACCTCTCAAATCGAGGTAGATGAAGTTCCATTCAAGTCAACGACATAATAATATAAAGTAGAGTACAGCAACCATTCACTTCAATTTATAATCGTTTTATCCTTACATTTTATGTTTTTGAATGCATAATAAAAAGCTTTATAATTAGGTAGCATTTCATTCGGTTATCGGTGTAAATTATCTCTACAAGATTTACCTGTTCTCACCATGCTAGTGGTACAGTATCATATCGCATATTCACTTTATTCTGTTATATTATTAAAATGGCTTTATCTCACTTTTGAATTCGTCATTTTCGTCAGTCTCACCTACTACTATAACATGTATTAATTTTTATCATAGGCTTTTGCGAAAATTTTCCATTCTACACCGGACGATTTAGATATGCAGATTATATACGATGTATCACATAATATCGCTAAGGTGGAAGAACATTGGGTAGATGGCAAAATAAAAACTTTACTAGTTCATCGCAAGGGATCTACTCGAGCATTTCCACCTCATCATCCCTTAATTCCTGTTGATTATCAGGTTAGCATTTGTTTATGTTGAAATCACGTGATTTAACGGCTGATAACTATAATTGTAGTTTTATTTCACGAACAGCAGTTAAGAACTGGAAGTTACTAGGCATCTGTTTTGCCTATGGGACTGTTCAGCTCTACAAATACGCGGTTTTGTTGAGGACCTTTGAGCCTTGCAATGATAACTTAGTGCCAGGGCCACTGCTTTGTTATCCATTCGTTCGCATTTCTAACTTAAGTTATATTACGATATTTGTCAACTTGACTCACAACCTTACGTCTTGCCTCACTATTGCCTACTCTGTTATTTGACAAGCGATACTTTTCAAACACCTATGATCAAAAGATTGCATCTTTCTGTCTTCATAGACTGTTTTTAACAGCCATAGAGCAATATTGAGTGAACTACTTTACGGTATACTCTTCACTTATTTTAGAGATGGTTATGTCGGCTACTAACTCAGTTGATACAAGTTTGGAAAATCAATCCAACTTTCATAATTCTTGCCAAAGAATACATCAATGGTAACGTCTGACTGTGCCGTTAGATTAGATAAAAGTATATCACTGAAAAAGTATTGTGACTACTGAGGGAGAATCATGTGATGCGATGATTTTGTACACTGGCGATTAACTACACTTGATCGACATTAATAAACCCTAGAGTATTGAACAATTCAGCACTCATATTATTGAATCTCTGAAAAATTCCCATCATATTATTTAATTGTTCAACAAAACAAAATTTCACGATTATTAAACTACCTTCTAGTGGTTTAGTTACACAAATATCCAGCTTTGACTTTGAAAAATTGGATCTAGTCCCGTTTATTTTAGAGCGAGTAGTTACATAGTGTTTTAAAATCTTACACTTTTATTGTTTGTTGTACTCTAACGCATATCGGTACGTAGTAGTTAATACGTTGCGTTTATTTTTATATTTTCGAGTTTATCGATTAGTTCATTACATATGAGTGCTTTTTTATTTTGCCTTAAATTGAATCCATACTTAGAATTCTTAACCTCTGTCTTAGTTTCCCACAATTCGCAAGTTGGATGTTTGTTTGATTCACTGTCTTTTTTTCACAGCTTACCGGACAGCCTGTACTTATTGGTGGTACTATGGGTACTTGTAGTTATGTTTTAACTGGTACTGAAAAAGCAATGACTGAAACTTTTGGTTCAACATGTCATGGTGCTGTAAGTAATAATAATAATAATACTTAACGTTGTGATAATTTTCGCTTACAAGTCAAAAAGACTCGTAAAGTATTTACTTTATGCTTAAAATCAATAAAAAATATCAGATATTTAAATAAAATATGTGTTTTTCACTGATTCTTAGTGGTTTATATCTTTAGTACGATTTTAAATCAACTTTAAAGACTCCAACTTGATCAGTGCATGACAAAATCTCTGCATTTTTACAGAAATTAGGTATTGAATCAAAGCTGTACACCAAGGTCACCTGTGTGCAGTCGAAAATGACATATCTAAAAGCTGTATTTTCGATTGACAAAATAACAGTGCATACTTTAAAAATGTTCATAAATAAAATAAAATTTATGTTCAGTACTGTCCAAGTTAGTGTTAGTGCAATATACCGATTGTTTATGAAGGTGGGGAATTAATGATTAAAACATCCTACCCCCTGACACTGAATTGAGGACCTAAACACTACTTCAGTACGGAACATCGCGTTGTATCACTAACCTTCACACCCAACGGTGTTAGTTTAAAGCGGACTAAATGAGATTATATATATTACTAAGTTATCATTAGATTTTCTTATACCAAAGAAATAACATTAAAATCACAGTAAGATTTATACTTTACCTAGTTCTGATTTCGTTTAGTAATATTGAGTCAAATATGAACACCTTTATTCATAGACCTATTTAATTATTTCGGTTGGTAAGATAACCTAATCAAATTACATATTTGCCTTCAAATTAATTTACCATACGTTTATCGCTATTGATTAGGTTTTTATATGAGACAAGATTTGTAGAATAAAATTATTTCATTCCATTTTAAGAACTGTTATTTGTTGTCCATAACACAATCATAACAAATGAAATCAATTTTTAAACAAATATATATGGTCAGTACACATGCTTCCAGTCTAAAAATTCGACATTTCAGTTAGTCTGTTTTCTCCACACAAATATATACGATATCCCAAGTTGCCATACCACATTATCACGTTGAGATAAAAACAATAATGCGGCTAGGGAAGGAGATCAAAATAATATAGTAGAAATGACGTGGAGAAAAGCTAAGCACTGAGAATATGTTCCACAAAGATAGAGTGTAAAGGTTTATATAAAGGATGGAAGATCGGAAGATAAAGTGTAAATGCTTAATGGTCCATTAATCATTCAGTCATCCCTTGGCAACATAGGATCTGTCACAGGTGGTTATCAGTTCAGTTCGCCACACTTCAAGTCAGTAAAAGAATAGGGAATTAACAGATAAAATAAAAAAAAGTATGATAGTGATAATGGTGGTGGAAAATTAAACAGGATTATTGTTCGAAAGAACAAATCAAGTTGCCAAATGAAAGGTATGTAGCCATTCTGAGTTGCAAAATCTAAAGCAAAATAATTAATGCATCATTGCAACTATAACAAATTCTGAAGTATGTTACGTTAAACATTTAATCAGAATATGACAGTATATGGTTAACATCAGCCAATGGATGCGTATCTCATCAGTATTTATAAGAACTTTTTATCAGCCCGATTAAACCCACACAACATGAACGTTAAGCAGCGGGAGTCTGACAATTTCACTGTCGAGCCTAATCTCATTATACCATTTCAAACTGTACTTTGACCTACAGATATATTTTTAACATAATAGTCTGTTATACTGATTGTCATTTATGTTTACATCAATAGTTCCAAACTATTTTAGTTGTTCTGATTCGAACAGTTAACCATAATTTACAATTAAAATGTACAAATTGTTTGAAACGGTTACTTAATTGAAAATAAATAATTAAAATATAACTTTATAAAAGTAGATTTATCAATTATACCCCATAGTGTTAATGGAAGCAACTACTCATAGCGTTAAATATCTCTGTCGTTTAATTACTTGATATTAATTTTCCACTCTTCTTGGCAAAACCTAGAGGATAGTTTACCACTTATTTCGTAGCTCCTAATAAAGCAACATAATTTATGATTGGATTTCAGTTTTCTGTTTTTCGCCTTGTTTATTTATCCTTTCAGGGTCGTGCATTATCTCGAGCCAAATCAAGACGTAATCTCGACTATACTGATGTTTTAGCACAGTTACAGGAAAAAGGTATATCAATACGAGTTGCTTCACCTAAACTTGTAATGGAAGAAGCTCCAGAATCATATAAAAATGTAACAGATGTCGTAGATACCTGTGAGTTCTATTTTTTGTTACTTCAACTCAGCAACTTTATGTGTAGAATATGAATTATAGCTCTTAGCTGTTACACATCTTTTAAAATGTATTACGTGCTAATATAACAAAAACCAACGTGACTCAATATTTATAGTCAGACAGGGAAATTGAGTTTGAGACATGTGACGAAGAGAGTAAGTGACAAACACACTCTCTTACGTACGCGTATGTAAGAACTATCATGGTTACATGCAAAAAAGTGACAGGGTCAAATGTAAGTGTGGATAATGTCTCGAAAAAATGGACTGATAACTTGTCTAGAGTGATTCACGTACGCGTAAAATACTATTAAATACTGCACTTCTTTACGATAGTCATTTGTCGTAATCAATTAATATATTGTTTTTTTTTACCCCAAACGCTGACAACCTATGACTCGTGGATTTTTACTCTTTAAATCAGTAGTATTGTACTAGTCATTTTTGACTTATATTATACAAGCCACTCACTAATCAGCTCCAAATTTATCTAATTTGCAATAAGGTTCAGTACCTTGATTGTTAAGTCAGTAGCGATCAAACCTTTTCCCACTTATCTCGGCTTATACTGCTGTATAATATCATATTATTTTAGTTTTTACTTCATTAGTCTATAGGAACCACGTAGTCATTGACATTTTACTGCTGTTTCGCATTCATCAGGGCTACTAGTAACTTGTAAGTTTAATAAGTCTGTATAATGTCCAAAATCTATGATATTGATATAAGTTTATCATTTCACCTTTATTTCATGTTTCTATTTTCAAGTTATTTATTAACCTTTAAAATGTTTACTGTTATTGAAAAAAACTGTTGACTAGTTTGTTATTGTATTTTGTAGTGTTGATTTGTTTCTTATGTATATTTGATTTTCCTCTCTACCTAGGTCAAGCAGCTGGAATAAGTAACAAGGTGCTCAAACTACGTCCAATTGGAGTAATCAAAGGTTAATCTGGTTTTTTGCTCCGGTCGATACTTTCTTCCCCTCCCAACTAAATCCATGCATTCAATACCTCTGTACACAAAATAAAATTGTTCTGTATTCTATTGTTACTTTTTTGAACTGGAAAAATGTGATATTTTTAATTGTGTGATATTCACTGCCAAATAAAATTATTATTACTATTATTAATGTATGTCTTATGCTTTCCGTTCAAGTATATTTAGTTAGTGATTGTTATTCTCATGTATTTTTGTAGTGCTGTTTTTGCTGTATACTTGAAAATTTTACATTAGATTTCAACGAAGTTTATTCAACTTATTTTCCTTTCTACTGTCATAATGACCTTTTTTGCGTAAATATTTATGCTATTCAGTGATTATGTTCAGATTAATTCACTGAATTGTAAACTACATTTAGTTGAAGAGACTGACAAAGATTCTATTTTGATGTGTTAGCTGGTTGGAAATGATTTAATTTAGTCGAAAATATTGTTCTCTTAATAGTTTTGTGAATTTTAGTCCGTTGTGAAGTAGAAATAAAAGGAAAAGAATCTTTTCCTATATTATGTATATATTTGTGCCAGCTGATACTAAGTTTTTCCCATTGTTATGTAAGACTATCTAGTAAAGTTTTTCATCGTTGACAAAACTAAATGCATGTAATAGATTATATTAATCCGAATTATATTTTGTTCTTGGGTAAGCTCTTGTATGATATGTTAAAGCATGACCATCGTTTACCGAGCAGTAGTATTTACGATACTAATCAATCTGTTTTTTAAGAAGTAAAAACTAGCATTATCCCTAGACAATCATATCACTGTGAGATACGTATGGACGTCGTTGAAAAATTACAGATATTAATAATTGTTTAAGCCAAATCATTGTGTAGATGAAATGGATGAAAAACAATTTTCGACTCAGCTTCATTTATAACTCCTGACTTCAGTTCTATGCTCAGATTCTTTATGTCTTTTAAATATGTTTTGTCCACCTAAGTTTTTCAAGATGGTAGTAATAAAAAAACGCCATTCGTTGAAATGGAACAAGGAGTGAGTGGTAGTTTTCTTCGCTTTCTGTTTGCTTTCGACTTATATTGTCTTTTGAAAATTCCTTTTATGAGTCGTAGTGAATTACGAGTTTGGATGCTGTTGGATCATCGTAGTATTGTATTTCCGGATTTTGCTTCGGTTTGGGCAACCGGACAGTATCCCAGCCCTCATAGAAATCGAACGATTTATGTGGCGCATATCTGTTTAGTGCCTCATTGTACCAATGTTTATGTGTTTAAATAAATAAAATAATAAATTTTGCAGCCACCGCAATAAATTCACATAATCTTTCGTATTTATTCAACATTTTAGTACGTTAATTAAATGAAGATAAAGATAAGACACTGGACGTTATAGAAATGTGAAATTTGAGGATCTTTTACCTTCGGGTAATAATACTATGACTAGCTACGATTTTTTTTGTCTACTGGTTTGTCTAATTATAAGTAGTGACAGTGCATATTAAACAATAACCATTACTGACTAGATAAATATTTAAGTCATCACCACTATTAGGTAATGATTGCTTGATTACCTAAGATACTCATCTCGCTAAGTAGTAGGATAAAGGTTATCAGTAGAGTCACGTCGTGAAGGTTGTAATATCAAATATCATTGATCTAGAGTGGTAACTTTCCAGTTAATTTCCCTATTGTTCAAGAACTTACGGCTGAAGTATATTTACAGTAATCTAAGCTTCTCTTGTCATCTAGTTCTACACAGCTCATAGGATTCTCAAGTACATATACCATAGCAGTTATGATTACTGGGAATAATCCCAACTTTGATTTAGTCTATGTAAAGCTTTTTTGAAGTGCGTGTACTTTAAATCCACTCAATAAATGTTGGTAGTGTTATCTAAGTCTACGTCGTATTGATGTATTATGGTAGCTTGATCTAATCCACATCCGTTCTAGGCTCTACTCCGATTATGAGTGACTGCTCAGATCCTAAAATAAACTATCAGTTGATACTCCTATATTTCATTGTCTATGTTAGTTATGTCCAGCATATCCAGGTTCACTTAGGTAAGCCATACTGATCTCTTGGATCACTACAGGTTTGCTAATAACTACAACTAACCTAAATCTTTTGATTAACGTATTGAGATTGAATTTAACTTTTCAACCTATCCTGTACTAAATTATACCTAAGGATTTACGTGTGTAGAAGCCGTTTTCTGTCTAATAAATTAAATTGGCTACTTTAGTAATCTCAATAACTGCGCTAGCTCTCATGATATGACTGGAAATTTAATTTGATTTGGAATTTGTAGACTGTGGTCACCAGACATCCTAAAGCTCATCTAAACTTATCTTACCACTACATAAGTATTCTGTTTCCACGACATAATCACTCGAAAGTAAATAAATCAGAAATATACTTTAGCCATTGATCATTGCTGTTTCCGAAGGATTATCCATGCTCTGTCAGACCAATCATACATTTCATTGGTGAAATTTAGTTTGCAATTTCCAGCTAAAATGATTCTGTTTTATTGGTAAACTTGAAGAGTATCGAATTCAAAACTATTGTTCAGTCTTATATTGTGTTCTAATGTACACAGCCGAAATTTTCAATATTTTTCAAATAGAATTACACTAAATAGTGAAGTATTAATATAACATTTACTCTTAAATATTATCTACAATACTATACTTTACTAACTAGTGATAAATATCTGAGCAGAATCACTATATCAAATTAGTTTTACTACTAAATTGGAAATATTTCAATAGGCACATATTAATGAGTCCAATTAAATTATGTCTTCATTTCTTATTGTCCTCTGGAAGACTCGTATTAGTGATAGGAGAGAAAACAGTGTTGTATACTACTGACATAAATGACTCTGATATAGAATACCACCAGTCCATAGTCGATTAGGATTTCCCTGATTTTATCCAAAAAGTGTATCGTAAACTTCATCCAATGATTTTACGTATCCAGCTCTTCTAATAATTTCAGCGTCTATTTTGATGGATTGTATTTAAGGGTCCCTAAAAGTGTAGCATTTATTCGTAGAGGAGTGTTTGGTTCGTGTAACTTTGGCGTACCTTAAAGCCTCTAGATTTCATCCAATCTTAGTCTTGTTCTTTTAGTTTTCCTGGTTTGATAAGCTAGGGTCCTATTACTCACTCTATCAATATCTCATTGTTCTTATCTAATCTATTATCGGCATTCTATTTTATTTCCATATGTCCTGGTTTTCTTACTGTTAGTAGGCCCTTATTGATATCCCTTTTTTAAGTTCTTTGTTTACCTGACCATTGATTGATAAAATGAAAGTGTTTAAAAGCAAATATAAACTACCATTATTTATTTATTGAAGAACATTTCGTAGTGCGGTGTCATATTTGTGTTTGTTTGAAATAATAGGAATAAATTTCTAATTCATCGGTTTGTTTCCAAATACTTCTTATTATTGGCAGTTAACTATTTTTGCCCTCTTTTTTTATCAAGTTTAGTCATGAATATTCCAGACGCTGATGAAGATCTATTGGCCATCGATACTGAAAAACTAGACAGTATACTTGAAAATCGAGATGAAGTCATTAATAATCAAACCATCCCAGAACTTATTCCAGATGAAACATATAATTTTTCAAAACAATTTTCACCGATATTTCGTCTTTATTCATCTACCATCTATGATCGTATTCATGCCGTATACTCAACAGAGTAAGTTTTTTATGGCTGTTTTTTGTTTGTTAAAGTAGGCAAGTCAAATCAACTACTTTAATTTACTTTAGCATATAATCTTTTTTAAACTGTCGGTTTTCATTTAATTCATCCTGTAATGACTATGAGAACTCTTTTGGGACTTAGTTGAACATCTTATTTGCTATACATTAACAAATGTAGGTTAAAGGTTTTACTGATACACTAAACTGAAATATATGTTTTTACAAAGATACCTTGCGTTACCACTGTGGTGTATGCTACTTAAGATGATAGTTATAAGTAATATGTAGCATTAACAGGAAGTGAAATGCATGCCACCAAGAGATTGAAAAGATCCAATTGAAGAGAATGGAATGGGAAACAGAAAGTAATTGTAATGAAAACAGAATTGAAAGAACCATGAAGCATGTAAAGAACAACTTATAGAAGATGTGCAAATAATATATTTAATATATGGTTTTCATATTTTACGAAAGCACTTTGTTCGCTACACTACTGTTCTTTTTACCGAACATATCGCCTACAACCAATGAATAAGCACATTTTACATGTAATTGGCGTTCAAAGTGCATAGTTCTACACGTTAGTTGATAATCTGTCAGGAGATATGGTGTCACAACGTACTGATTGTACGTATTATGAAGCACATCTCTCCCAACAATAATTTCCTTTAAATTGGGAGACAGAAAAGTCTTGTTTTTTATTTGTAACCTAAGAAGGTGGCTATTACTACTTTAAAAAGCTTACTGACACCATTGAAAACTTATAAGTAACGAAAAGCTGTATCCTCCTAAAATTGAATTCGTCAACAAACCACGCCAATCGATTCTATAAGGGGTTTATGGATTTATGAATATCATTCCAGTTGAATAGCAATCATCGTGATTATCATCAAAAAATATTCGTTGACGTTAGTGATTTTCGATTTCACCATCACACAACGGGCGATTATCATTAACTGTTTTTGTGATTTCTCAAGTGTAAATAAATAACTAATTCTGCGTCATTTAATTTAATCAGTTGTAAATTCATTCAGTCAGTAACAACGTCGAACTTCGTACGTACGTACATCAGTTCGAGTTGCCACACCACATTAGCACAGAGATGCAGTGGTCGATTCAAATCCCGTAGTGGTAGAGGTAATAAGAGTATAAGCAGTAATCAGGAAAATTAGTGTTTGGAGATGTTATTTAAAGAGTATAAGACAGTGAAATAAATTTGGGAAGAGAAAAAAAGAGACAAGGAGGAATAAGGAGATGAAAATTTGGGAGAACACAAAGAGTGTATGCACCTGCGCCATTGCAAACGATTTTGAGCCATGTCATTCAGGGTCTCTAACCATCGGTTGCTATCATCTCGCGGTCCCCAACCAGGTAGTCTACACCTACCAACATGACTCAGACCACTTGTCAGTGGCTTCATGGACTTGTGCCATGTTTTGGTCTGGCCGCTCCTAGCTTTCTTCCAACCTACTCCTATACCACTGAACATCGCACGTCGAGGCAGTCGGTCGTTGGGCATACGTAACACGTGTCCTAGCCATCTCAACTGATGAAGTTTCACTACTTCATCAATTGATTTGCCATCCTTACCTAGTACCCGTTTCCTAACAACTGCGTTACTTACTCGATGGTCCCAGGATATACGAGCAATGTTTCGAAGACACCTATGATCAAATACTAGTAACCTACGAATATCCTCTACTCTTACCGGCCATGTTTCACTGCCATAAAGTAGGACGGAACGAACTGCTGCGCAGTAAACACGTCCTTTGGTTGATAGACGGATATCTCGCCTACGCCATAAATGACGCAAGTTGGCAAAAGCTAGTCGAGCCTTCTGTATCCGTGCTGAGATTTCGTCACACACCAGACCACAAGGGCTGATGAGACTTCCAAGATAAGTGAAGCGGTCGACACACTCAACTACTTCACTCCCTATCATTAGTTCGGGTGTCGATGTAACCCAATCCTGAAGCAACATTTTGCATTTCGAGGGAGAGAATCGCATCCCGAACATGCTTGCATTGTTGCTTAGAGTGGTCAGAAGACTCTGCATTTTGTCAGCGTCTTCACCAAATAAAACTATGTCATCAGCATATTCTAAGTCAACAAGTGAACCTCCTGGTAGAAGTTCAACCCCTGGAAATTTAGATGAGGAGAGTGTTATCTCTAAAAGTACGTCAACGACAAAGTTGAACAAGAATGGGGAGAGTGGACAGCCCTGACGAACACCACTTGAGGTAATCAATTCTGATGACAGTTCGCCATAAGCTCTCACTCTACCAGTTGTGTTCGAGTAGAGAGCCTTTATAAGGTTAATGTACTTCTTTGGTACTCCTTTCAGTGACAAACACTGCCATAGAACCTCACGATCAACAGAGTCGAATGCCGCCTTAAGGTCGAGAAATACTACCATTGTGGGGCGTCTGAATGTGTGTCTGTGTTCTAGAACCTGACGTAGTGTGAATATCTGATCTATACAACCACGTCCAGGTCGAAAACCAGCCTGGTTTTCTCTAGTCTGCTCTTCACGAGCTTTAGTTAGGCGTCGAAGTATTATTGAAGCTAATATTTTAGACACTATATTAGTCAAACTGATTCCTCTGTGATTGTCACAAGAGGACTTTTGTCCTTTCTTAAAGACTGGCACAATCAGTGATTGAGACCAGTCAGATGGGATTACGTCCAGTTCCCAAATTCTACCTAAGACCTCAGTTAATCTCATTGCTAATACTGGACCACCATCCTTAAAAATCTCAGGAGTAAACCTGTCAGGGCCTGCTGCTCTCCCTCGTTTCAGATTTCCTATGGCTTTTTCAACTTCGTAAAGGGACGGAGGACCTACATTAACTTGCCATTCAGGTTGACTGGAGATCGTGGGAAACCGAAGTGTGGCTGAAGGCCAGTTGAACTGATCCCTAAAGTGTTCTGCCCATCGATCCAATCTCCTGGATTGAGAATGAATAATATGTCCATCTTTCTCTGAGATTGTTTCGCTAACGGTCGGGTTCCTAATTCCGGTTTCCTTAACGAGTCTGAACAATTGTCTGCTATTACCTATTGCCGCTGCCTTTTCCATCTCTCTTGCTTTCGCTACCCACCACTGTTCGCGATCATTGCGTAGACTTCTTGTCAGCTTGCGCTTAAGCTGACTCCGCTCTTCATTATGTTCAGAGCCAGGTGGAATGAGTTTCCGAGCATCTATCAGTGCGATAGATGCTGCTGAGATCCAGTGTTGCTCCCTAACCTTCTGGTTTACCTTACTAGCAGATATCACTGCTGTTTCCACAGCTTTTCGGATATCATTCCATGCTGCATCGGGGTGGGCATCACATACATGGCTGCCTAACTGTTTTCCTAGTTGTTCCTGAAATATACTCTTAGCTTGACTATCATTAAGTAGGCCCTAAGAGGTTTCCTTGCAGCGTCTTTCCTACGTCCAGTAAGACGCAAGCAAATACGCGCTCGCACTAGAGCATGATCTGAATCTAGGCATGTGCTCCAGAATGAGCGACAGTCTTCTATCGAGCCCCTCCATCGGTGGCTGATAGCGATGTGATCTATTTGGGTCCAACGTTGGGACGAATTAGGGGGTCGCCATGTTAAAAGATGTTTTTCCTTATGCTTAAAGTTAGTATTTGCAAGGAACAGGCGGTTATCTGAGCATAGCTGCAACAGACGGTCGCCATTATCTGTTCTTTGAGCCACGACACCATAAGATCCACCTAGGTGTCTTTCCCTATCGCTTAGTTTACCTACTTGAGCATTAAAGTCACCGGCCACTATTACTACATCCGAGCGCTTAGCTTTTCGGAGAAGGTCCGAAAGCTTTCTGTAAAACTCATCTTTTACATCATCTGAGCTGCAGTCAGTGGGAGAATAGGCAGAGACGACGAAGAGGCAACGACGAGTGTCCCTATCTTTCCGGATTCTTACTGTTCCGTTCAGTCGGACAGCGCACAAACGACTGTCTACTGGGATCCACTCTAAGAGAGCTAGTTCTGCCCTAGGACTCAATGCTATACCTACGCCGGCGAGGCCACGGGAAGCAGAATCAGGGCTTCCAGATACACGAAGCGTAAATCGAGTCGGTTCTTTATTTTGGCATGGTGAGGTCAAATGAATGACGCTACTCGGATCCTGTATGCGCGTTTCGGAGACGCAGCACACATCGATGGCGCGAGATTCTAAAGTTTTAGCTAAGGAAGCCTGCTGTCCTATTTGGCAAAGTGTTCGTACGTTAAAAGCTCCTACGTGTAGTTTAGAGCGTGGTTTCAGGAGACCAGGAATGGCGTTCCACGTACTCGAATCGTTTGCCCTAGCGGTGCGAGGTGATAAAGAGACGTGAGGAGGGTTAGTCATGGAGATAAGAGAGGTATTAGGAGGTGTAGGAAGGATTTGAATGTGACCACCTTGGTCTCTTGTGCTGTTACGGGTATGAGGGCTGATGTCACTTCCCGGCTGCCCACACCGTGGAAGGGTATTTCTTGAGGAACCTGAAAAGGAAATTGGATTAGTGTTGGTCTTGACGACCTGGGAGCGTGACCGCAGAGCCCAAGGGACAACTGCTTGAGGCCGGTCGCGCACGGCCTTTTAATGTGTTAGCTCCTTTCTCAAAGGGTCTTATCAGTGGAGACGGAGATCCGTGAGGTGTGACATTTTTATGGTCGAACATTTTAACCCCACTCTTCCTTGTGAGAAGGCAGCATCGCTGCAGATGCCAGTTGTTCGAGGGAAACACTGTACTGCTGTCACACCCCTCTACAGTCAGCAGTACGACTTCACCCTCAGACCTTGAGTTGCTTCTTTTTGTACTAACGTTTTCCAATCAACATACTTTGCATGGTAGAACCTACAGGAACATATGTTCCAGCCAATATTGCTCGGTTGGGTCGTCACGATTGGCAAGCCCGACCACCGCGTCAAGGCAGCAGCTACGGTCGGGAGAGGGTGCTATACGAAGAGATAAAATCGGTCGATGTAATGAATCTTCACCAACGGAGGTGAGTAGGAAACCTATTACAAGTATCTAGCCACTGCTTACTTCAAAGAGAGATGTTTACTGGTGTAGAAGTAGGTTGTAAGAAAACTAAGGTTGGTCAAACCAAGATCTGACATCATTATACAAAGTAATTGACTGTCCGTCTAAACCATGTTAGCAGAAGAAGAATACCTAGTTGGTGTCTGTGTGATAACTCTGATCAGGAGTTGAATACTTTGAGTGACTTGGTTGAAAATCACTCAAAACTGAACTCATTCATCCACTTTTTATCTTCCTCATTATGTCAACTTTCAGTATTCCTTTATATATACATTACCAACCTTTTAGAAACATTTTCTCAATCTTCGATGTTTATCACTATTACTGTGATCGTTTTCGCTATTGATCTTATTTATTTTATCTCGTCATGATAATGTTGTAAGGCAACTTAGACCGACTCACATCTGTGCCATATCCTACAATGATAGACGACTGAGTCATCCTATAAATATTGAATAACTGTCTTCATATATAACAGTTTAGTTAATGAAAGGCTAAATAGCTTACAAATTAATCAGTAAGAAAAGTAATTTATTAAAACTCAAATCGTTGGGCGATATATATATATATATATATATATATATATATATATATATATATATATATATATATATATATATATATATATATAATATATATAATATATATATATATATTATATATTATATATATATATATATATATATATATATCCAAAGTGCGATAATAGTGTAAGTATTTTTTAGCTATATGTTCATCTGCTATACAGTTTAAATAATGTACAACTTCGGTTGAGATGGCTAGGACACGTGTTACGTATGCCCAACGACCGACTACCTCGACGTGCGATGTTCAGTGGTATAGGAGTAGGATGAAAGAAAGCTAGGAGCGGCCAGACCAAAACATGGCACAAGTCCATGAAGCCACTGACAAGTGGTCTGAGCCATGTTGGTAGGTGTAGACTACCTGATTGGGGTCCGCGAGATGATAGCAACCGATGGTTAGAGACCCTGAATGACATGGCTCAAAATCGTTTGCAATGGCGCAGATGCATACACTCTTTGTGTTCTCCCAAATTTTCATCTCCTTATTCCTCCTTGTCTCTTTTTTTTCTCTTCCCAAATTTATTTCACTGTCTTATACTCTTTAAATAACATCTCCAAACACTAATTTTCCTGATTACTGCTTATACTCTTATTACCTCTACCACTACGGGATTTGAATCGACCACTGCATCTCTGTGCTAATGTGGTGTGGCAACTCGAACTGACGTACGTACGTACGAAGTTCGACGTTGTTACTGACTGACTGGCTATAGTGCCCTCTGTCTAACTGCAACATTGCTCACTCGGTCGTTACACAAAACAATAACAATGCTTCGAAGACACCTATGATAAAAAAAAACTTCAGTGTAAGCATGTCTTCGACTTTCATAGACCGTTTCCACAGCCATGGAGTGTAAGAAAATGAGTTGGTGCTCAGTATACACTCCTTTTGATTACGAGACGCGTATCTCGCCTATATCACAAGCGACGCATCCAGCCGAGTTTTCTGACCCCATGGTGAGATTTCTTCACACACTAGTTTACCAGAGGTGATGAGACTTTCAGTATAAGTGAAGTGGTCAACGCACTCAAATGTTTCGCTTCCTATTATTAGTCCAGGAGTTGACATCAACCAGACTTGAAGTTAAATCTTTCATTCGACGAGAAAAAAAACTCATCCTAAACATGTTTGCATCGTTGCTTGAGATGATACAAAAACCCTTCATTTTGTCAGTCTTCACTGAATAGTATTATACCATCTTCATATTTGAAGTCGATAGCTGAACGTCAGTTTGTAAGACGAGGTATTTCATATATGTGGTAGAATCCGACATTTTTGTATTGACGATTGTGACTGTCTGGTTTCCGGCTCAGCTATGATGGACACTAACAACACTTGATTAACTCAGCTGTGAAGAGAAAGAGAGAGGGAGAGGGATGGTAGAAAGTTGAATTCCATAAAAACAGAGTATTGTAGTTAAAACTCACGGGTATTTATCGATGTCCAAACGGATCCAGATAATCAGATATAGGCTGTGACATTGGGTTGGTGAGTAGTTCATTTATGATGGTGCGCCCACAAATGGATCTGTTTTACAGTTTAACCTTAAAATATCGTATCACTTGTTTTATTGTAGTCAGTAATAACTATAATTTAAATACGATTGAAAACCTTGAACTATTTGTTATTGCTTATTTTATTGCAGCCCCTTTTTATCTGACCAAGAATTGAATAAACTTGGTAGAACAGCACGAAAAATTCCTGTGTATCTTGGTATCTCTATTGGAATGATTGCAGGTGTAATGCGTGCGTTTGTATCATATGATGAATTCTTACGTGCCAATAAATATACTATATTTGTAAACAATGAAACGGCTAGGGTCAGTTATGGGTAGATAAGTGTCTCTTATATTGATGATATAACCCTATTTTTTATGTAACTATTTTTTACGCCTATTCAATCCCTTATGGAGAGTACCATACCATTTTAAATATGTGATTTTTATTTACTTTAGGCTACTACATATATGACTGAAGGTTTAGATAACTATCTGGCTTATCTGCCTACCATTAAGACTCAAGCCAATTGTATTGTCTTAAAAGTTTCCTCACCATAGTCTATTGTATAAACTTTGTTTGCACAACTTAAGGTAAAAATTCTTGACGTATACTGTTAATTTAAACAAAAACATTCAAATATATAACTTATTTTTCATCAACAACTATTTGTGTTTAGTCAAATCAATTGGAATGAAAGTTTAATCATTTCGATCTCTCAAAATCATGAAATATGTATGATTGTCTTTTTGTTTTTCTGGTATTTAATTTCCGTCGACTTCAGTTATACATGAAATGAATTAGTCCTTCAAGTTTGTCTAGTGTCAATATTTCTTTTTTTCCTCCTCAGTAAATTTTAAAAAATCAGTAATGAAGTTCCTATCCACGATCAAACTTAATTTATTCTTACACTCTGGATTAATTAACCACCTTTGATATTTATTTAACAAGCTGAATATAACTTTATATTAGAGTGCAATTCTATTTCTTACTCTAATATCACTGCTAACTATTTCTTTATCAATAATAATTTACGGAGTGTTGTTACAAGGAAAAAGAACAAAGATTTTCCGCTATTTTTGTATTAATTGTTTATGTCTTCCCATCGATGTCTAGGACCGCAATTGATCAGACTCATATTGATATATGTGCATCCTGTACAGATTGACTCGATATTGCCTGAAGTCACAAGCATTATAAGCAGAGATGGATGGTATTCAGCTGTGGAATACAGGACGCGCGTTTCGTCCCATTTGGGGCTCGTCAGCAGGATGTATCTTTATACTAGGACGAAACGCGCGTCTTGGATCCCACTACTAGCCACCATTATCTCTGCTTATAAAGATTTCCCACTAGCTATGCTTATTTTCATTCAGGTGTGGATAAACCCATACTGTTACCAATCTTTGGTCGATGTCTAAACAAATACTTTAAAATGATAGCAAACTTTTTACTTATCACTTCTGAATACTGGTCAATGAAAATATTCAACGTACATACATATAAGTTGATGTTCATAGTTCCTAAATCAGGCATAATTTTTCTTTATGATTACAATTTAGACTGAAAAAACCAAGTTATTACTGGGATGAAGTGTAAATGAACATTCACCATTATTATAACTCTTACGAAATAAAATTATGCAAATGTCAATTATGAGTCTTTCTGTTTATCCTAATCTGTTAAGGACATCTCAGAGTCGTCGTTTTTTATTTAAAAAATCGTTTAACCTATATTCACTATGGGTATACATCTGAATATTTCAAGATAATTTGGAGTTTTTACACTATTGTTCAGTGCAATAGCACAATGATTTATATCCATTGAGGTTTAGTCTAAGATTGTATCATTTTATACTTTTTAACATTATGTTATTGTTTCATGTCTATTTCTATCAAATTTGATCATTACCTTACCACACAATTCCAAATGTATCGACATAAAATTATAAACTGGTTAAATAAGATATATATTGCTGTAAGACACGACAATAGTCAGAAGTGTGTGTATATTGCAAGAAGATACAAAGTACTTAAATAACACATATACATAGCTCTCAATTCTCTACTTGCAACTTTCCGTGTTTTATTCTATGTAAACTGTTTATTCGTCTGGTCTTCAAGTGTTCTGCCAACACCGTGTTTTCGATCCACTGGAAGTTTTTACAGTCGCTGCAACTTTGACTCCACGTTCAACTACACACTACTTACAAACATCCTTGTTGGTAGCGTCCACTACAATACCATTAAATTTTCCATCGTATATTTTAAAAGAAGACGATAATATATGGATACTAATACTCAAATTATCTAAATTATAATTTCATATGCAATAGTTTAACTAATTGAAAAATAAACAAAATAAAAAACTTTTTGACAAGCTTTTGTTCACTTTTTCAATTATTTCTTCTGTTTTAGCGTCATTCCTTAGATCATTGTATACTTAAAGGTGCCGTATTTGGAATTTCCACTGGTTGCAAAGTAACGATACTTACTGGTGGATTCTAGTATGTTCACAACTAATTCTTTTTACATGTGATTCGGTATATTTCAACATTTATTCGATATTTTTAACCGAAGAAAATACCTCTTTTTGAATATGGAGATTGCTTGTTGTATTTTAGATCAGCAGGATTGTATTTGGTCAGTTTAACTACCATAACACATTTTAAGAAATCTTTTTACCCATAAGATCTTAAAGATATTGTAGTGGATTATTAAAGGGAAATTGGGGAAATAGTAAAATCTATGGTAGAATAAAATTTATTTCGTTCAATTGTTTTGTTGGATTACATTTATTTATTTCAACTCACCATTGTTTCCACACTGTTAATCTCCGTCGTGACTTTTGTCTATCAGTCAAAGGTCAAGTTTATAGTTCATCTATGAGAGTCATTTTCTGTGTTTATTTATTCCCTACTTTTAACCATCGCTATTCAGGAACGATTGGTCATGTTCGTCTACAAGATCGAGCGAGTAATCCTGAGGTCTGGGAATGTTTGTTTACATTTAACAGGGTTAGTAATTATCTGGTTGTTAATATATTGGAGCGCTGTCTTCAGTGATTCCAACACGTTTCACAAATGTCTCAACAACTTCCACATACGGCGCCAAAATTTGTTTAACTTCTAACATTAAAATACTACTCTAGACTGCTTTAATTACTAAGCTATCAGATTAAGCGTCCCAATATTTATGTGGCGTAATGCGAGTACTCAATATGGAAGTTATAAGTATATAAATTTTGTTGAGGATGTTAAATCTTCAAATATTATATTTCTGAAGAGATCCCTATGAAAATTCATGTATGATTTTTAAGTGAATTTCGGTCACTGGGTTTAGATATGTTTGCACCTTTATCGATTTACTTAGTACGAGGTTAATTAATCAATTTTAGGGTATTTTTCTTATATTCCTAAATTCACTGCCCTGGTACGGCTGAGGGTGGAGAGAGATAGCTTTCACATGGCCACGTGTATAGAGCTACTGCCAGGGAAATCCTACTCATTGCCTTCTCGCGGCGGGAGTGTTGTTTACGGAATTGAGAGGACGAAAAGTGAATGTTCGCGCTTTAGCCGGGTTGATGGAAATGGAAGATTCACCTATGGGAGTTGGAAAACCCTGATTCCAAACCAATGGTGTACATGGGCTCCAAGATCTTGAGGGAACAAATGGCGTATGAACCAATTATTCCTCACCGGCTATCATAGGACTGCATATCTTGACGTTTGCTATTACCTTATGGATTAGGACTGCAGGTCAAAGGCTCGGGGTGTGGTCCCTTATGAAAACCACCTGCTTCGGTGTGGGCATCCGGGCAGTATCTCAGCCCTCATACAAATCAATGATAACTGCTACTGTCATTGTTATTGTTTGATGCATATGTATTTGGTGCCCCCTTTATTAATGTTTATGTGTTCAAATAAATAATAATGATTTTATGGACTTGAAAGTAATCTAATTTTTTTAGGATCTTCACCAGTACATCTTTGCATGACTTCCCTCTCATCTGAGGATAATTGTTAAAACGTTGTATATTAGTCATCCGGTCGATCCAGTTCGCGTAGCTCTCACATCATATTAGAAGAATCTCCCAGGTGCCAGTGATTCAGAATTACCATATTTGATTTCAATTTCACAACACCCTTGTAAATTATTTTATTGTGAAGATTAAAACAGAATACGGCTAACATATTAATCAGTTTTACTGTAGTATATAATTATACATTATGAACTCACTACTTTAACCTTTTTAGTAGTCAGAGTGATTAACAGTAGAAATCTAGCACAACAGACCATAACGAATCGTGTGATTCATATGCATATTGTTCATCAAAGATTAGTTTCATTATTCAGGAAAGTGAAATTTTTTGTTTAAAACATTCATATAGAAAATCTTTAATATGTCGTTTTGTCAGACTGATATTTTCTTTTATTCATCAAAGCACTCTACCGTTACTGTTCTCCGCAATTCAGGGGAAAACAAGTTACTGGAACACGCTGTAGGTTGGGGTAAGCATTATTAAATTTTCTATGTATATTTACTTATATGTTCCTCATGGCCTATTTTGCGAGATTCATTAATGCTTAGGTTTCATCGGTCGTATTTTAGTTTGTTCATTTACATTCGTAACTCTTACCCAGAAGACTAGTTGTAAACCTGAATCTATCATTTATTCGTGTCTGTTATTTTTTTATAGATGTTACATTTGTTAATCCAATTAATTGCGTCTATTAAATCAATTATAAAAATAACCTTTTTCTAATTTACTGATGATAACTAGGGATTTAATTTTGAGTCACCTATCGGCAAAATTTAGTGTATTTTTATGACAGCGCTCTCGTTTGTTTGATTCACTATCGATATCGACCTTACATTATGTTATTCATCAGCAAATTGTATTTCATTGAGGATGTTTGCATTAGTCTTGTCTCACTCAATATGAAGTAGTGAATAATTGTAGTTTATATGTTATTCCCCATTATTTCCAGTAACATTCATGTACATGACTTAGGAAACTACCAACATCTTCAGGTTTCTTTTTATTCTGTTTCTAGACCTGTGAGTTGTATCCATACACACAGAGAAATATGTACATTTATTTCCCCACTAATGAATCCTTATGCCATAACTTCTACCTTGACGCGGTGGTTGAGCTTCCCTATCCTGTTGAATCAGCCGATCTATATTGGCTGGAAAACATGTTCCTTTAGGTCCTATCATACTACTAGGCAGGTCGGTCGGAGTATAGTGAGCGAGAACATAGACGGAGCAGCCGAATGTGTTTGAATATGAAGTTACAGAATCTTTAATTAGAATCTGAGAACCATACAGTAAACACTTCACTTGCGAAATGTCAATCAGTTGTTTCAGACTTTATTGTTTCTTCGCTTCCACACCAATCACTCTCTGTCTCGTTCTTTTCTCTTCGATCTTCTTAACCTTCTGCCGCCAGGCATTTCACTTTCGATTGGTGATACATACTACTTATATCTGTCGACACCAGTGGCACACACCACACGAGAACAATAAGACTAAAAGCAGCAACTTAAGGTCTGAGGACGATATAATAATGCTGACTATAGAGGAATGTGGTAATAGTAAGGTGTTTTCCTCGCACAACCAGTATCTACAACTGTGCTGTCTTCTAACAACGGAAGAAAGGGCTAGAAGAGTTCGACCTTAAAACTGTCATGCCTCACCTTACCCCATGAATTTCCGTTTCTAGCGTTCAGGCCTTTTAAAATGCACAGCTAAAGTATAAAAAAGGCCGTGAGCAACCGGGCTCAAGCAGTTGTCCCTGCGGTCACGTTCCAATGTCTCTAAAACCACCACAAATCCAGCTACTTGTTCAGGTCCCTCAAGAAGGTATATCTGTCCACGGTGTGGACATCCGGCAAGTGACAACCGCCCTCATATCTCTGTCAGCACCCGACATCTTTCTGACGAACAAATCCTCCTCTCACCTCTTAATAATTCTTCCACCCCTTTGAGTAACCAGTCTCGTATATATTTATCACGACGCTCCACCAATGCATTTATTATTTTCTTTATTTAACAACAAAATATTGGTACAAGGGGGCACCAAATATATATGTACCACACAAAACAATGAGAATGGGAAGAGGAAACAGAAAGTAAGGTGCGTATAAGAAAAAAAGGAGCAATAACGACCACAGATTAGTGTAAGGTAGTGTAATAATAATAATAATAATCGGGGGAACGGAAAGGTACAACCAGAATTCTTTCAGTTAGGGAAGTAACAACCACTTTTTGTGAAGAAAGTAAAAGAAGGTTACAGCAGGATCGCCACTGGCTTCGATTCTGAGCCATATCTGATAACGTCTCTAGCCACTGTGTTGCACCATCTCTCGGACCCCAACCAGGGAGCCGTGAAGGACCGACAGAAGCCAGTCCTTTGCAGCTTTCTTTCATGCCACGACACCATGTCATGCACTGACCAACTCTCCGCTTCTTCCAACCAGTCCCAGAGTCGGCAAATAATGCACGGCGTGGAATTCTCTGGGACGACATTCGTAGAGCATGTCCAAGCCACGGAAGTCGGTGTTTCAAGATGGTGACACCAATTGCATTATCGTCTCTGTGACCGAAGACACGATGCCGAACCTCTGCATTACTGACATGGTGTTGCCACTGGATGTCAGAAATCCTTCGGAGACAGCGATGATCGAACACAGAGAGTCTTCTAACGTCCTCAACTCGGAGAGGCCAGGTTTCACAAGCATAGAGCGAAGCTGCTCTCACCGACGCGTTGTAGATCCGACCTTTTACAGCCAGACTAACATCATGAAGGCGCCAAAGGTGGCCCAGATTGGCATAAGCCGCTCTGGCTTTCACTATACGTGCATTGATCTCATCACTCACACCCCCACCAGCACTTATGCAGCTACCTGGATACACGAACTTCTCGACTACGTCTATCTGCTCACCATCCGGGCTGAGTACAGGATTAGAATCCTGCCAGTATTGTAGAAGTACTTTGCACTTCTAAGGTGCAAAGCATATAGCATACTTACGGACACTGGTTTCCAACTGATTAAGTGCGGATTGCATGACTTGAGCACTATCGCACAATAAGACAACATCATCCGCATACTCAAGGTCGAGAAGTCTTTCTCTAGGCAACAGATCCACACCACCATTACTTAAATCCATCAGAGCTGTTTCCAGAATGTCATCGATGGCAAAGTTGAAGAGGAATGGTGAGATTGGGCAATAATTTGAACTATTTGATTGTTTTTCGAAGCGAGAAAAGTAGTTTCCATAGATATAGGGAGTCCATCAATTTGCGTGTGGGCTGTGATACTGCCCGGGTGCCCAAACCGAAGCAGGTGGTTATCTTAGAGGGCCACTCCCCGAGCCCTTGATCTAAAGGTCTAACCCACAAGGCAGTGGAGCATCGTAAGGAGACGCAGTCCCATGGTAGCCGGTGACCGAAAATTGGTTCATACGCCATTTGTTCCCGCAGGATACTGGTGCCCATGTGCACCATTGGTTTGGGATCCGGTTAAAGCGCCGGACATTCGCTTTTCGTCCTCTCATTTTCGTAAACAACACCCCCGCCACGAGAAGGCAAGGAGTAGGACTTCCCTGGCAGAGGCTGTATACGCGTGGCCGTGTGAGAGTATTTGGAGAGGGAGAGCGGACTCTCCCCACTCTCGGCCGTACGAGGGCATTCGGGGGGGAGCAGCCAGTTTGAATGATGCACGTGGTTTCAGAAAAACTGCTTCAGTATTCCTATTTGGTGGTAGCATTCAATTTTCAACCAGTCAGTGACTCGAGAACGTTTAGACAGAACCGAGTTTCTACCATAGACGAGCTGCTGTATAGGTCGAAAAATAATTATACACAGAATGGGAATAAAAGAGAGCTAATAAGTGACGTAGTAAATAATAATAATAATACTAATAATAATAATAATAATAATAATAATAATAATAATAATAATAATAATAATGTGAATCGTTTGACTGTTAGTCGAAGCAAGTGTAGTATTTTCCGTAAGTATCGTCATCTCATTCTATTTGTGTGCGGGCTGGTCCTCCCCACTTTCGACCATACCAGGACGTTTGGGGGCCACCAATGCTGATGATTTGAGTCCGCAAAATATTATCCCTGGTCTCTTGAGACCATGTTAGACATTTTAATGTTTGAACATTGTGTTAAATAGGAAAATAGGCTTATTTAGCCATGACTCTAGGATCTCGCACTATCGATATTTGCTACGTCTCCTAACCGCGAATACAGGATCCAAGTAGTCATTCACTTGACCTGACCTTGTAAATATAAAGGTCGCGCACGATTCACCCTTCGAGTACATTCAGACCCCACTGTTTCTTCCCGTGGCCTCTCTGGGATATGTATATCATTAAGTTTTGAAGCGAAATAAGGATTTTGCTTGAATCTTACTGGACGTAGAAAAGCCACACCAAGTAAACCCTTTAGAGTTCAACTTAATAATGAAAAAGTTAAGAATATATTTTAGGAACAACTAGTGGAGTTAATCAGCGGTGAAAGTGATATCCATCCCAAGGTAGATCGGCATGGTATCCAAGAAGCTGTGGAAACAGCAGTAACCGAAATCAAAAGGTCAAGGGTAATCGGTGGATTTCAACGGCGTCTATAAAACTGATAAATGTTCACATCAGGGAGCAGTTCAACCATCTTTCAACCACACTTCAATTACCCATGATTTCCAAGCAACCTGAATACCAAACTGATGTAAGTCTTGCGAATCTTGGTGGGGTTGGAAAGGCTATAAGCAATCTAGAACGAGGCAGAGTACCAGGGCCTGATGGACTAACCCCTGAAAATTTTAAGTATGGTGGTTCAGCTTTGTCAGTTAGATTAGCTAAAATCTTGGCTAAAATCTGAAAACGAGGCGTAATCCGATCTGACTGGTCCCGGTAGGTTCTGGAACATAGACATACTTTTCGACGTCTGACTGAATTTTTACTCCTTAACTAGAAGGCGGCGTCCAACTCCGGTTACCATGAGGTTCTGTGACAGTGTTTGTCAATGAAAGGCCTACCAAAGAAATACGTTAACTTCGTATAGGCTCTCTCTACTGAAACACTACTGGTCGAGTCAGAGCTAATGACCAAGTGCCATCAAAATTGATTAATTTAATTGGTATTCGTCAGGGTTATCCCATCTCCTCACTTTTTACTTAACTTTTTCATAGACATAGTTTTAGAGATATCGCTTTCATCGTCTAACTTTTCATGGACTGATCTTTTTATATTCGAAGATTAAATTATGGGTAACTTCGGGGAACTGTTATTATATATATATTCTTGTTGTATAACATTTAAGTAACTAAACTTCATATATTTATGTTCCTTTTACTATAAGCTTCCATTTGACTTATTGACTACTACTATATGACATACTATCCTTAAGTTATTCCCAATTGATTAATTACAGTCTCTCACAATCACAGCCACTTTTTGGCTTGATTTTGGATAATTTGTATCTTTTATTTTATGCTATGCGGTCTGGTTTGCTTGCATATAAGCCAATTATGTCTGAAATATGTGATTCGTTCTATGGAAGCTGACTGAGATTGTGTTCTGGTCTCAAACGGACACGGCTGGATGAGAAGAACCAATAAGGATTCAGAGTTAACTCAAAGCTGCTCGTACTGGTTAACGCGCTATTGGGTTAGTACAGTGCCAAGGTCATATAAGTCGTGTTCTAATTGGCTATTTAGTCACGTGACAATTAACAGGGCAAAAGTCATAACATTTCTACCGGAAGATTCACTTACTTCCTGATTAGAGTTCGCTGGTGATATATTTCTGTTTGATAAAGACTAACAAAATGTTGTCTTCTGACCACCTTAAACAACAATGGAAGCTTATTTAGGATACAGTTCTCTCCCTCCAAATCTAAAATATCACTTCACGATCGACTTGCTTCAATGCCTGAATTAACGAAACGGTATATAGTAGTTGAGCGCATCGACTGCCTCATTTATTTTTAGAGTTTCATCAGTCCTGATGGTTTGGTGTCTGACGAAATCTCGGCACGGGTTCAGAAGGCTCGACTGACTTTTGACAACTTGCGTCACTTATAGCGATGGTGAGATCTCCGTTTTCCAACCAAAGGACAAGTTTACTGCTCAACAGTACACTCCGTTCTATTTTATGGACGTGAAACATTGCCACTTAGAATGGAGGATATTCGTAGGTTACTGGTATACGGTCATAGATGTCTTGGAAACATTGCTTGTGTATTTTGGAACCACGAAGTAAACAATGAGTTGGTTAGGATTAGGGTGCTAAGTAAAAATGGGAAGTCGATTGATGAGGTAGTAAAATTTGATCAACTTAGATGGTTGAGACACTTCTCACGTATGCCCAACTGCTATCGTACCTCGAAGGGCGGTGTTTTCTTGTGCATGAGTAAACTGAAATAAAGCTGGGATTGGTAAAACCACAGCATGACGTCAGTCCATGAAGTCGCCGAAAACTTGACTTTACCATATCACTAAGTATCGACTACCTAGTTAGGGTCCGCCTGATTATCGTAAACAATGGTTAAAGACTTTGGGTAAGATGGCTCAAAGTCGGTCGCAATGGTGAAGAAGTCCATCCATTTTTTTCCATTAAAGACTGAGTCTCAAAATCTCACTATACTTGTTTTTCCTCTTATTATATCTTGTCTTTTCTACTACTACAGTCAGTTGCTATCCCGGGATTTATCTTGAAATAACTTAGTTTGGCTGTGTTAATATGATAAGATAGCTTGGATCGACGTATATATGTGTCAGGTTCTACATTGCATATGACTGACTGACCCTCCGACCGATGTAAACAAACTTCTGATCATATAGTTTATTACTTTAAATCGATTGGTGATTTAGACATATTGTGTTTAATGTATTGTGTTATTCTACAAATATTTTCGATTTGGCATTCTGTTTTTTTTTCTTACCTATTAATTTCTCATTTTATTTAGGAATTACAGGTTCATTGTATTGCTTTAATCGTGGATTTAAACGAATGCTTATAGCAGGAATGATTGCTTCTGTACCTGGTCTGCTTACTGGTGTTTTATCCATGTTAGCATGTCGTGCATCAAATTCAACATTTGAAGAATTATACGCAAAATATTTAAATGAAACTCAGAAAATCTAGTTGTTAGCATTTCATGTTTGTTTCTTTTTACATAAAATTATTCTCTAATGTATTTTATAGCTTGAACTAATTATTTTCTAATCACTTGAACATTTCACTTGTATCTATCCTATTAAATCATGTTATTACTATTTAGATAGTATTAAATGTACTGTGGTTTGCGTGTTTCTTTTGAAAACAATTTATTGTGGTAATTATAGTAAGCACACTCGGCGAAATCGCTGTTTCTTTGGGGAAGTTGTTTTGATCATCATTTTTAAAATTATTTCTGGCATAAACATTTAGTTAGTCTTAGTAGTCTATCTCTGAGGTCTTCAGTTTTCAGCATCACTCGTATTGACTGTTATATATCCCATTATTTCTCATCATACAGTTTTGTGAATTACAGTATCTTCTTAACCTTAGTTCTCTTTTAAAATCGCTTTCGACATATGGTGTGATTAGATATGCATGAACCATATGTCATCTATGTGATGAAGCCCAACCTTTTTTCAGCTATACTCTTTATTATCATCTAGTTCTCTGCTGCTGTTTCGTGCGAAATTACATAGTGGCTTGGTAAAATATGAAAACCGTACATTAAATACATTACTTGCAAATCCTCCTTCATTTGTTCTTTACATACTTTATGATCCTTTCAACCCTATTGTTATTGTGACTTCTCCCTATTTCTCTCTCTGTCCTCTTCAATCCAATGTTATTTTCGAAGGCATTCCACTTCAGACTGCTGCCACATACTACTTATATCTGTCAGCATAAGTAGCATATCCACTATACTTGTTAAGACGCTCGGTAATTAGATTTTCAATGGGTGGTTATAAATAATACAGTGAATGCGCTTCTATACGCTGCTGACAGATATAGTTGACCTCAAAAATTTAAAATATGAACATTTCTGACAATAATTTCGAGTCTGGTAAAATAGTGTCCATAGAGTTAAAACAGATGGCAATGAAATCGGTGATACTGAATGTTTCTATTTGTCCGCAGGTATAGTAACATAATGGAAGTCGAGAGGAACACGAAAGAATTTTTCAAACTTTTAATCAGCCGGTATTACGGCTTTACTCACACCACTAAAAGTACGATAGTTTAAAAACCATCCCTGTCAAGTAAGTAGATAATGTCGAAATTACAACGAATAACATGAGTTTGAAAGTAACATACCTTTATACCAAGCGTAAAAACGAAAAAATTACTGACAATAAGCTCGATACCATATTCCAGAATTCAAACAGTTCATTCAGGAAAGTAAATATCGCGTACGATAACAGCAAATGTAAAATTAGGTGAGGAATGCTGTCCTTAGTAGAATAAAAATTAAATTTAGATCATGAACAAGCAAATAGGTGTTTCGTTTCACGAAGTAGGTTTTTTTGTTGGTGAGAAATTGTGTCTAGATCAGTTTAATTTGTAGTTGATATTGGTCACGAACTGAGATAATTTGGGGTTACATTGCAACCAAAGGTATAATGGTAAGACGTTTTGTTCTGTTATGCAATTTTTCACAAGTGGACATTCACAAACTTCTAACCAAGAATGAGAAATCTAATTAACTTGTACATTTCGGGATTCAGAGACTACTTTGAACTGTAACTAGATTCGAACAAGTAACCTACGTATTATTGGCTCAATCTTGAATCAGTTATGTGACTTTGTAGCAGTGATTATACATATAAATGTTCTTTTATGACGTAAAGCCTTGATAACTTATAACGACTGTCATAACAGTTGGTTTGTTACTCGTTCCATTTAATTCAACGATTTAGAATTCAGTTGAAAGATATAGCTAGGTAATGAGTTACATGATAACGGGAATGTTACATATTAATTTTAGAAAAAAACCTAATACACTAACCAGAATCAAACTAAACTTTGGTCACTTTGTGTTACGTACGTTAGTTCTTCGACTGCTAGTTTGACAATGGTTGTGTTCCAGCGAAGATTCGACTTTCTTTAAAAGGAAATATTTCTGGTTGTGAAATACACTGACTAAATATTTTTTGATTCAAAACTATACCACCTAACAATAGTAAGTATTCTAAATATGTACATTCATTTTTTATGGCAAGTATATCATGGAAACTTGCAATCACTTGTGTATGATATTGGTCACAAATTGACATTAACTAGAGTGCGTTTGTGAGACACAGAACACCTGGTATTTCAGCTGTCTGCATCCATAACCTTGCTACTGATTAAATTTATGACTATTAGGTCTCATCACCAAACAGAAAGTGATGCAGCGATTCATATTGAAATTGATCTATTGGACTATCGCAGGTTTTAAAAAATTAACAGAAACCCATTTTTAACGTAGATAAAGTAATGATAAATTAAAATATTGGGTGTTCATACTGCCAGTAATTGCTAACTGTTTCCGTGTAAATCCACTATCTATTATTTTGATAAGACTCAAAGAAGCTGCCTTCTTTAGTGATTGTTTACTTCAAACAACCTACTAGCATAATCACCATCAATCAAATTAACGCGATCACAATATTAAGGACATTTAGTCGCAAATCCCTTTGAACCAATTTGAAAATTCGAATTCAAACCCTCACATTAACCTTGAAATGTAGATTTGTGAATCCATACGTATGTAGCACTTGTTATGAAATGAAGCTCTTAAATGATGAATTCAGAGAAAAAGATAAAACCAGAATAAACGGACGAGATTGATCATTATTTCTTGTTGAATAATTTAAATACCAGTTTTATAAATAGTATTTTATTTCTTCATAACGGTAACAATATGATTTCTAAAGTTTCGTCAAAATCCTTTGAAATATATCAACTTGATTTCCGAGAATATAATAAAATAACATTGTTATGTTCCATGGTGATCATCCGCCTAACTTAAGCATGATTTAGTTACCTGCGAATTGTGTGTCATTCGCCGAAATTCAAGTTTACATAAAAATAATATCAGAATGGGTTTTGTGGAGATTTTAAGAAATTTCACAGGTTGAAATCCTGAGTCAACTGAAGCTAGACCACCATGGAAAACCTGGAAGCACTGGACGGCCGTTTCGTCCCAGAATGGGACTCCTCAGCAGTGCGCATCCACGATCCCGCACCACGCGGGGCTCGAACCCAGGACCTACTGGCTTCGCGCGCGAGCACTTAACCATTAGACCACTGAGCCGTCATCCCACGGGGGGCGGGATCGTGGGTGCGCACTGCTGAGGGGTTCAATACTAGGACGAAACGGCCGTCCAGTGCTTCCAGGTTTTCCATGGTGGTCTATCTTCAATTGACTCATGATTTCAAACTGTGAAATAAATAATAACCAAGGAAGATATATATTTAATGTAGGTGCTCAGACATATTTAAAAGGTGGGAAGGTCAAAGGTTATATTGCGATTGAATATATTAACATTATAGTGTTCATTTCAAGTGCTCTTATGAATTTTCAATAGAAACATTTCGTAAACAACTTGACATCTAAGAATCGACTCAATTATTACAATTTTGAGCAATTAAAATATCCAAACGAACCTTTATCAAAAAAGTTAGTAGTACTCTAAATAACTTCAAAAAAGACTAAATGTGACTAACTATATTGAAAATCAATTACGGCAAGTGATGCACCTGTCTTAAGTTCCTATGATTATGAACAACACATGATTGACACAAACATCTTTGACACAATACAAACTAACATGTTAGTTTAACAATTAGATTAAGGGTATTGGGAATACAATTGTTTGATTACATAAAATATCAATACCGAGTGAAATAAACTTTCATTGGCATACAGCAGAAAAATTCCAATCTGGTTAACTTTTTGGGAAGCATTAAATCATCAGATAAACACGATGAAAGAAAGGCGATAAGTTGTTTTTCTAATTTTAGGACAATAACAAACTGTCCCAAGATTAAGTAAACATCATTTTCAACTGGTATGGAATGTACCATTTTATCAAATTATGTCAATACTTAATCAGTATTCACAAAAAATATAGGATTTCTATAAGCGTTCACAGGATATAAATCTCTTCAAACATTAAGATATATTGCAAGAATGACAGTTATTTTTTGTATTGCATTATTCAAAGCTAAAACTATTCATTTCGTTTGAGTTTGATCAATTGGATTGTTATAGTAATATAAATTAATCGAAAGATGATATACTAAAGACACAGAGAGGTTTTTACTCATTGATGAATATCAACAAAGAAAATAATGAATAACAACATATCATCCTTTCTGACATTTAAAGAGTAATGTACATAGAAGATATTATATTAAAACAACTTTACAATATTGTAATTTTGTCTTGGTTTCATTTTTCAATAGTAGTATTTATGACAAACTATCCCATCTACTCTCTTGACAAATCAGCTGATTTTGATTTTGTTGAATATCATCATATACTATAAATATTAGTTAACTTTCATTATCACGTATTTTTCGAAACATAATAAAGATTTAACCAGAAATGTATTTTTAATTTTCCTGATTGAATAATATTAGAGATACGAAGCAAATTTTCATCACGAGCTGTGATTTGCTGGGAAACTATTAAAAACTAAGGTGCTCTGGATAATTGTTTCTATTCAGTTCTGTATGTCGTAAATGTGTTCAAATATGACCTCACTATATATAGCGAAATTTCTATATAGGATGAAATAACTATCGATTGCTTCTTGGTTTTCGGTAGTCGAAGCCACTTAGTATTATATCCATTTCAAACCATCTTCATAAACCTTTCATTCTATAATCCTTTTAGCCATACATACATATATACTTTTTTGAACAACTATAAACTAGAAAAAAACGCTAAGTGTAAATCAGTAATAGTTAGATATTTTATAAAATTTATGACTATTGATCAATGTATTGGAAGATAATAACCTTTCTAATGATTTTTAGTCTTCAGTGTTAACCAAATCCTATCAGTCAGTTTATAATTTAACTGCTAAAGTGAATAATTGACATTATTAAGCAAAATAATCGCTTCGTTTGGTTGAAATATGATCAAACTGAGTTATATG